TCTTGGATTAATAAAGAAACTGTAGCGGTACTGGACTAATTGGTCCAGAGATGAAACTCACAGCAAAAATTGTTTCATTATTCATTGTTGATCAAACTTACAAAACACCAAAAAATATCTCAACCACCTGTTACACAACCGAGCAAAAAAAAGGATCACCTAACGTTTTGAAACTCTACTGACTTTTCTTACACACCACACACCACTAGCACAAACTAAAACTATGCAACAAACTTAAAAAATAAAAGCAAAATAACAGTATGCTTTTGGTTGGTAATGACGTTGATGTTTGTTTGTTGTTGTTTTAGTTTTACATCAATAGTTTGTAGAAGCTTACCTTTACCTGATCTGTTTTATTTTCTAAATGTCAGTACTTTTTTTGTTTTTATGTTCTTCTTTTATGTAAATGTGGCTTTTGGCAAGCCACATTTACAGTGGCTTGCCAAAAATAGCAACATCCCTTTAAGTTTTTCACATTTTGCATTGTTACAACAACACATTTCAGTGTATTTTAGTGGGATTTTTATCTGACGGAACCAACCATAACATGGTGACGTGAGGTGAGGTTCAAAGCCGGCGGGGCACTGACTTTATCATAATCACATTTACAAATGTGATTATAACAGAAATGTTATTTAACGCATGTTATTGCGCACATGAGGAAATTCCGCGCATGCGGACAAAGCTGGAGGGGAAAAAGACAATTCTTTACGTGCTGCCGCCGTAGAATAATTCCGTTGACTCAATCAAACTTGGACATGTAGACATTACATGTATGGCTGTATGGCTAGCTCGCTGTTACTGTCTCTTACTCTACTCTTGTGGAGTCACAATGTCTGGGATCATGAGCTCCCCCTGCCGTGAGGCAAGAGAACTGCCTGCCTCGCCCAGAATCTGTTCTCTGCTGTTTCTGATCGCTCCTCAGCACACGAAACACGTTACACACAGTTAATGACAAAAACATTGTACATTATGTAAATAAGCGCAATGATAATAGAAGTAAAGAGACGTATTCATAAATTTTAGAAAGATCTTAAACTTATGATGTCTTTGTACTCATCCATTTTCTGACACTTCTCAGTAAAATCAAATGCAAACAAATACCTTCAGAAGTCACCTAATCAGTGAAGCAAACCTGTATGTAATTTAATAATACAAAACACCTCTTTTTATGCAAGTTTAAAAAGTATAGCAGTATACTTTTTATAATATTGTGTTAAGAAAATCAGTTAAGGGTTGCACAGGAGACTATGGCAGAAGTTAATCTCTTAGTAGAACAAATACTATCACATATATTGATAACTATTCAAGTGTTAAAATTAAAAATACATAATCTGGACCTACATATATTTTTTGTGTTTCAATGTTTTTTTGTTTTTGTTTTTTTTTATTCATGTTATATGATTGCTTGTTTAGAAGTTTTGGCATTTTTTATTCTAAATTTGCTTTTCATACTTATTTTCCATGGAATGTGAGATAATGACAACATAGTAGTCACAGTCACAAACAAACACACCTACAAAAAACAGATGTTAGGAGAGATTGTGGAACTCAGATCATATTGATCATGCACTCAGAACATATTTCAGTGAGGTCCTATCTACAGCCACTGAACTCTCTAACCACAGAATGGAAACTCTAAGCTTTACAGTTTCACTCCTGAAAAAATGGCTGACTTTGATTCTGTCAGTTAGACTTCCTCAAAAAGCATAACCTTTCCAACTTTGCACAGAGTTCAAATGCCATCTTGTGGGTACATGTTGTATTGCAGTGAGAAAAAGCTACACACAAAATATGAAACACAAATGTAATCCTAAAAAGTACAATTTATTTCACTGGGGCTCAATTTGTACATAATGTCTAAGAAATGAACTTTTTATTTTTGCTAAAGCAACTTAAAGTTTAGGACTTTCTTACCTTTGGCCATCTGATAATTATGGAAGGTCTTGGGATATGTGAGTATCTCTGCTCCAGTTCTGGACTTGGCTCCGACACCAGTTCATCTTCTGAGCTCTCAGAGAGGTTAGTGCCTGTTGGAGGAGACTCAAAATATGAATCTTCACCTTTATCCTGCAAGTAGCAGCCAGAGTTTGACTTGGTTGCATTGAGGTTCCTGCTTCTTCTAGAGTTAGAAGACATACAAGTGAAAGTCCTCTGTAGCTGTTTATGCTGCTCTTCCTGTGTGCTGCTGAGTGTGGTTTCTGCTGGTTGAGATGTGACTGGGTTGGCTGCTGAAAGTCCATTGTTGTTTCTGTTGTCCACGGAGCCATTTGACTCAGCAGAAGGTGCTGAATCAGTGTTAACATCAGAAGAGTTACCAAAACAATGGCCTAAAGATGAGCAGGGAAGTCCGTGCATGCTTGCAGAATGAGAGATGACCACAAGAGACAAAAAGGTAAGTCTTACTTTCATTGACATGAGGTGGATACAAGAGACATTGAATGTCGAGGCACAGTTAGTTATCCGGGAATAGCTTCTGCCAAATAAAAAAACCCAGAAACCTTCATATGAGGATTAAAAAAATACATAGAAAGTTTGTATAGTCCATCAAAAATGTATTTCAATAAAGACTCTCTTGTAGCCTTAATATCCTCAGAAACACATGGTTACCCTGGTGTCCAGACACAGACATAATCCAAACTTATCCTTGAGTTAAGAAATTGTCTCCCTTCTTGTACACTGCTTTTCTGTCCTGCCTTGACTACCTGCATCCATTTGAATTTCTTTAGGCTTTTATGTGTTAGCTGCTGGGTGTCTCATTACCCCAATGGGTAGTTCCTGGGCTGCTATGAGTCTGAAAGCTGGGGTGGGCCCACATGGTTCAGGCTTAGACTCTGGTTACCATCTGATTCAGGGTCAGTTACTAATACACTTGCCCTACACTTCACCAGCATTAATTAATGAGCTCATCTGATCACAGAGCTGTGGCCTGGGCTGTAAAGGTTATGGGAGACTTACAGATGGTTGAATATGAGAGCTCATATTACAGTCAAAAGCTGTAAGTGATAGCCCTGAGATGATAAAGAGAAAGGAGGAATGAGGGAGGACGAGAGGGGCAGATAGGCAGACTGGCATCACTCCTCACAGAAAGAGTGAGAGAGGGGGAATTCGTCTGCCATTGGGTGACTGCTACTTAAATATTCATACAAATGCGTTGCATCAATTGTTTATCAAGTCTGGTTTACTGGTATATATCTATTTTTTATAAGATATGTGACTAAGTATAATAATAATGGCTCAATACAGAAGATCTCACTTGCTTTGCACACATTTTTTTCATATCTATAACATTCCAATGATATTTTAAAAAAATATAGAAATTCTAAAAGTGTGGTATGTATTTTATATAATACCCCTCTTTAGTGTAATACCCCTAAATAAAATTAAGTGTAACAGACTAGACTACCTTCTGAAGTAAATTAATTAGTAAATAGAGTTCACGGGAAGTGCTTTTGCTCAGACCTTTACAAGAGAACAATGGTACACAGACAGCATAATAAAGAAGAAACACAACAGACAGGTCAGCAGTAAAGACTTTGAGATGGATAGCAGTGCTAGTTTACAAACCAATATTCAAAGTTTCGAACATCTCATGAAGGACTGTTAAAGCCTTCTTTTGAACATGAGAAGGGTACGACTCAACAACAAAACCTGCCAAAACCTGGTTGTTCACAACCTTACAGGTTGGGCATAGAGAAGACTAATCAGGAAAGCAGCCAAAAGACAGATGGAGAGGCACAGCTCATGTGGCAGAGTTTGTCACCAAGGCAACATACACATCAATCCTTCATGGAAGACCAGCAAAAACAAAGTTAACATAAAAAAAAGACTGTTTGCCTGAAATCCTCCAGGGAAAATGTGGTAGAATGAGCTCTGGAATGGGCAAAATGGGCATCCATTGTAGAGTTGCAAAATTGAGAAAATGAGCAACAAGCTGATAGTTGCATAATGGTGGTTATGTGATAGCCTGGGGTGTTTTGGTGCTTCAAAAATTTGTTGGCATTCTGTAACTGACGAACACACTTAGGATTTGCAGCTAGGCTATGATCCAAAGCCCACAATCAAGTCTGCATCTGAACGAATAAAATAAATAAATAAATAAATAAATAAATAAATAAATAAATAAATAAATAAATAAATAAATAAATAAATAAATAAATGGCTCAACAGATACACAATCACTCTTTCAGGAAGTTAAAATATCATTGAAAGGTAAATTAATTTCAGAAACACATTGCATGGATTAAATCCCCACAGAAGTTTACAAGAATTTATTTCTGTTATTATTATGATGGTTGCTTGCATCAAGCCAATATGAAATATTAATTTTTAAAACAAAAAGGCGAGCTTCGTGGAAAGAATGTTTAGTGCTTTCTGAAAAGTTGGCATTTTCAAGAACTATTTTAATCTGACAAACGAGCCTCATTTGAACACATCCTAATTTCTTGAGCTGTGCTGTGAGCTGTGTGAGCGCCACTCCTTACTGAAGTTTGACCGCCCTCTGGTGCCCATTTTTGTGAACTACATCACTTAAGAATTTGATGCTAGACGTCCGACTCTCCCATGAGCGCAACAAGCACAGTCCAATTTCGGACTGTTTTTTCAGTATTATAGATGGCCGAGTTAAATGTGCTTTTGAGCCTTTATCTTTCCACTTTAGAGTCACAGACCAAGTGTCCAAAACAAACCTAAGGCGCTCACAATGTGAAAATGGACATTCATCAAGTTAGCACAAATGCGCCTCGTACAAAGCGTTACAACATCTTCCTTTCAAAAATACATTATCATAATTTTGGTTCTTCGGGAAAATTGTGGAGTCTACATCAACATAAATGTTTGTAAGGTTAATTATACCTCAAACAGGCAGGTCAGTTTGCAAAATAAGAGTCATCCTTGCTGTTCGCACTTATCCGGCTTTTATTTTGACATACGAGCGGAAGTGGTGTTCTGCGGAGCCCTGCTCGTGTGAGATGAGAGCCAGCCCCAGGAGCGCACACAATCTGAGGAGACTCGCAGGTGGAGAGGCCGGGTTGACAATCCGCCACTCAGACAGGCGACAGAAGCAGGTGTCGACCCGTGGCTGAGCAAGCGCTTTACTCGCTGCTTCCCTTTATAGACAATCCTATTGGATCGAGGTCGTTGTTTTGATTTCAAAAATTAAATTTGATGCTTCTCTCCATGATCCACAATGCGGTCCTCGGCTCGGTTCGTCGCCCGATGCGCTCTCATCCTCTTCTTCATTGACGGATCCAAAGGACAGAGGCAGTGCACTGAGGTAAGGCAAACAGCGGTTGTCCTGTGGGCATTTATAGTGATGCCAAACCGGACAACTAAAAATGAAGACCCATTGACTAGTAGTGGCTACAAACAAACAAATCAACTGATGAGCGAATACGATTAATACGATGATGACATATTTCCGGGTTAGTTTATGTGATGTGTTTAAGATAAGACCCTTGCAATTGATTTACATCAGATGGCCGGGGAACCGTGGATCTTTACAGATTTATTTCCAGCGGTTTTGTTCAGCAGGGCACGCATCCATGTTGAGGTCTGGGTGTTGAACTTCACCACTAAGAGCTGTTGAGGCTGTTATCAGTTTCCTGCATGGACTGGCCTTTCCTTCCCTGTGCCTCTGTTTTCCCTCAACACCTCCTCAGAGGAGGCTGGCAGCACAGCCACGCATACAAACAAACACCAGATCTGCAACATTCTTCTCAACTACTGGGCTCAAATGTTGCTCCTATACTAGACATAGGAGATGAACCTTTACTCCATGGCATTTAATTCTCTAAAGTAACCTTGATTTTTATATTGTTACATCACTATACAAATGTCTGTTTGAAAAGAAAACAAAACTCTGAACTTCCATGAATTTCCTGTACATTTTTTGTTTTGTTTTTTTGCAAAGAAGAACAAAAACCAGCATGGATGCTTGTTTCCGTCTTAATTAAATCATAATTTATGATAAAATTTAATAAAAAGAAACACTGACTGTGATGCATTGTTTCATATGGGACAAACTGAATCTGAAGTGAGTTTGATTAATTTATAGAAAATTCTAGCTAGTTGTTATGTTGTTAGGGATGCACTGATTTACCAGCCATTTGATTCATTTGTGCAGATTTCCTTAATTTTGGGAGATCAGCGATTGGTCAATTTTTACATGTGTAGCCAATCTTATCTACATTGGCAAAGGTCTAAAATAAACCACTGTCCTCTGCTCTGCTGTGGGAAAGGTTTGATTCATAGATCGGCCCACCAGGTCATGTGTGCACGTTTACAGTTAGCAATATTTACCCTTCTGTTGCCAGGTCAGCAACTTGGTTATATTAATCAACATTTTATTTTTTATTTTTTTTTATAGCACATTTCAGCTACAAGGCATTTCAAATTACATCATAAACACAAAACACAAAGGCATGCAACATAGAATAAAATACCAATTTTTTTTTTTTTTTCAGACAAAAAGAATAGATATCAAGCAGAAAACTGCAGTTGGTGCACCCCTAGTTGGTGTTGTTTCTGCTTTTTTTTTTTTTTTAAAAAAAACTCCTATATCTGGGATCATTCACACCTACTCAGTGTAAAAAGAGAAGACTGGGGTTCACAGTAGCACAAGTCACTAGAATGCAACTATAATCCTGATTTACTTTTTGATTTTGTTTTAAATCTTTTTTGGTATCTTGCCTCAGATTTGCTTTATTTTCTTTATTGTCGACTTATTTTCACGTTAGTGCTATTCACAAATGATGGGCTTTATCTGCTGTGGTAAGTTCTAATAGTAGGCCTCCCTTCTTTGTTCTTGCAAAAACTGAAACAAAACCCATGTCCATGAACATTTATTAAATGGGTTTCAATTTCGTGTTGAATAGTAAAACCGTTGGATTCAGTGGGGAAATGTCTGGATGTCTCTACAAACAGTTCCTGGTAAAATGCCGTTGTCCCCACTGCCATCTCCATGGAGATAGTATGTTGTGTGTCCCATATTGAGGAGGGGTCAGAGTTGCACAGATAACAACCAGAGCAGGCACTCATGTCTTCTAAGCCAAGTGGACATGGAAAGTGATATCAGTGTTTGTTGCGACTGCAGCAGCACTCTCTTGCCGGATATTCAGAGAGAGGTGACTTAGCACTCTCCTTTGGGTGGAGACCCCCCTCCCTGAAGACCTGCCTTGGCCCCCGATTGGTTCTTTGTTTAGTGCTATGCCTGTTGTGGTGTGTGAGCTCTTATGCAGATGCTTTCTTTCTTTCTTTTTTTTAGTTTTGTTTTTGTTTCTTTACAGACTGACTATTATTATGAGTACACAGAGTGTGACAGCACAGGATCTCGGTGGAGAGTGTCCATCCCGCAGAATCCCGGGTCCTGCACTGGACTACCACAACCCGTGAGGGGCACAGAGTGCAGTAAGTTGGGATCATGTGGAGTGTATGCTAACACTTGTTTTTGACTATATTTTAGCATACATTTGTGAGGTTGTTTAGAGAATCCACAGTTTTATCAATCCATCATTCCTCATCTTTACTGTATAAAGAGTAACACAGTAGCTCTGTTGCATTTCGAGAAAAAATAACTATATTATTTGTGCTTTGTTTATTACTTTGTGGCCAGATCACGTATTTATAGAAGAACCCCTGGCCTCCAGCAAGTTAGTAGGACAGGCAGTCTTTTTGTTACTATTTAGTATCTATTTATGATGCCATCTCATGCTTTGATGGTAAGCTAATAAAACTAAGATCATGTTACTTTTGTGTGAGAGTTATTATATATGCAAGTTGTCAGTGCTAATGTTTTAGCAGCATCTGTTGTAGGTTGATGCGGGGCTGGTGCCTTTGTCCAGATAGTGGTTATGGGCTCAAAAAGTGCCAGGCACTCATGTGCCCATAAAGTGCCCATAACCACTGTGAAGGTCATGTCAAGGTTATGTCATAATGTTGCAATTTAACTTCAGGCATGTTACAGGTATCTCAGGCAACTGGCTACTGAGTTACGTATTACTCTGTGTTTGAGGCTGAAGCATATGTTTCTATTTCTGTAGCAGCGATAAAAACTGGGTTGTTTCATTACAGATTTAATGTTTTCAACAAAATGCGTAAAAATAGCTCCATGTTTCTCAATCTGCCCTGACATTTTAAAAAGTATGGAATCCTTTTTAGTGGGAGCTTGCGCTCATGAAAAGCTTTTTACAGTGGAACCAGGAAGGTTGAATTTAACTATGTAATGAATGCGGATCTTGAGCAAGGTAGTAATGGTAATGTTTTAGATTCATCTAGAACCTGTTTATCCTGTGTTGTTACATAACTTAACTACTGTCTGAATAACTATCTCAAACATAATCTTTTGTAACGTTGCATTGACAAATGCTATACAAAAAGAGCAAAACCTTGTTAGTTTCCTTTCTCATGCTACACAAAATGGAAGGTAACAAAAATGTTCTAAGACATACCCTTATGGTGTCCTTATGGTGTCAGATGTTTCTGCAGTGTAGGAAGACTCTTACTTTTGTTTTGTCTTTGTTTCCTTCTTCCTTTCCAGCTTTCTATTAATTTTACTGAAAGAAAAAACATCCCCTGTGTTCACAGTAGTTCATAGGATCCACATTAGCTGGCATAATTCTCACCCGGTATGTCATCAGATTTATTAAGTGCCATCTAGCCTTTTCACTCACTCTTGCTAGTCAGAGGCATATGTTTCTCACACTTCCCAAAAAAACATTGTTGGCTTCAATTGTTTTGTCAGTAAGCCAGATCAGGTATGAGGAAAAGCTGACACTGTCAAACAAACCCAAGCACCAGAACTTGATGGCTCTGGGGAAAATAGCACAGAGATAGACACAGTGTGTAACAGGATGTAAGGATTAAGTTCCTCCATCGCTGCAGTGCAGTAGTGATTTGCACCGCTGTTTGTCTGTCAGCTTTAGTCTGTCTCAGGGTATCTGACGGTAGCATAGTTTAGGGGGAAAAGGCTGAAAAATGATTTATATATTGGACATTTCTTCTTCTTCATCTCATTTTATGTCCTTTTTTGTGTTCCCTAGCCTTCTCATGCAGAGCTGGGGAGTTCCTGGAGATGTCTGCTCAGGAGTGCACCCAGTGCGCAGCAGGAAGCTACTCCCTCGGCAGCGGTATCCGCTTTGACCAATGGGATAGCATGCCTGCAGGATTCAGAAGCGTGGCAACTTCTCTGGGGAACGATCCCAAAAGAGATGCCCAACCTACCTGCAACAGGTTACTAAGTAAAAAAAAAAAAAAAAAAAAAAAGCATTGCAACCTGTACAATACTTTTACTCACATTGTTCGTTTACTTACAGTTCTTCCTGGGTGCCTCAAGGAAACTATCTTGAGTCCAACAGGGACGAGTGTACAGTGTCTCTTATTTATGCTGTTCACTTGAAAAAGCAGGGCTCTGTCAGCTTTGAGTATCAGTATCCTGATAAAAGTCTTCTGTTTGAATTCTTTGTGAGTAACCCACAAGCTCTTTCTTTTAGTACAAGCGTGTCTCAATCTTATTAGTATTGATTATGTAAGACGTATTATCTACTGATTTTTTTTGTGTGCAGATTCAGAATGACCAATGTCAGGAGATGGATCAGTCAAGTGACACAAAGTGGCTCCAGCTCACTAATCATGGAGAATGGGGAACACACACGGTAGGTGTTTTTGGCAGCTTGCCCCGCTCTTCTAAAATAAATGCTTTGAGTAGCAAACTGTGGGTGGATACAAGGAGGACACTAAAGTGCAAACAAAAGGCTGTTTGCAGTATTTTTCCACACAGATTATAAAACCACATAATTCATTTGGGTTGATCATAGCCCTTATTTCAAATTGTTGAGTGTGAGCAAAAACACTTTAAACCTGTTTCAAACATATCTGTTAAATTAGTGTTTTTTTTCTTTAAAATATGGTGTTAGGCATTCATTAAGAGAAGGTTGTGTGGCAGCATTGCATGTCATTGTACATTCTTATCCATTAATTCTACTAATTTGTCGACACTTTCGAACCATTTGAATAGATACCACAAGGATTGCATGAAAAAGTCAGTCAATTTCAGTAATTTAACCATCCGTGTTAAGAAAATCTAAAGTGCTTGCTGTAAACACAGACCTTGTTTATGGCATTATGGATGATGCATAACATGTATTCTAGGTGAACTTGAAATCTGGCACCAACGTCTTGTACTGGAGGACAGGAGGTGTTGTTATGAGGTCCAGTGTTGTGAAGCCTGTCCTGCTGAAAAACATTCAAATTGAAGGTCAGAGAAGAGTGAATTTCTCTGTGCTGGTTGCATTTTTGTTGTGTAGAAAAAGTCAATTAAATTAAATTATAGAAACATATCCAATATTAATTTTTTTTCCCCAACCTGTCTTTTCTATCCAAAAGGTGTTGCATACACATCGGAGTGTTTTCCTTGTAAGCCAGGGAGCTTCAGTCGCGTTCCGGGCTCGTCAACATGTGAATCCTGTCCTCGGGACACGTACTCTGGCCACGGAGCCAGTTCATGCACCCCATGCAACACTAGCACTGAGTATGCAGGTATGGCATGTTAGGCATGCAAAAACCTAAGATATAATTTTTTTACTGAAAGATTTGCTGTCTTTTTCACAAAACCCCTCTCCACATAATTGAGTTTTTGTATTGTTCAGTGAATCCGAAAAGTATTCACAGTGCTTCACTTTTTTCATATTACGATGTAGCCCGAATCCAAATCAAAGTTTTTTTTTTTTAAAGAAATCATGTTAATGTAAGTATTTACAGTCTTTGCCAGGAAGTTCAACATTTTTCAGCGGGGCAATGAGCCGAAGTGTGTCGCCAAGATCTCAAAGGAGTGACTTGGTCCTGGACTGGCCAAGTCAGAGTTTTGACTTGAGTCCAATTGAACATTTCTGGAGAGAACTGAAAATTGACGCACATATGTCTCTCATTCAACCTCTTATAGCTTGAGAAGTATTTCACAGAAAAATGAGTGAAACTTCTTAAATATAGTTGTGCTAAGTTTGTGCCATTATATGGCAAAAATGGATTTACAGAGTATTAACCTCCTAGTTTTCTGTTCTTAATAAATGTATAAAACACAGAAACATTATTCCACATTGTCATGACGGGCTAGTTAGAATTTTAAGGTTAGAGATAAATTTAGTTCATTATCAATATAATTTGAAAAAAATCTAATTTTATTTAGCAGGAATTTATGGCAAACTGTTCTGTACATATAAAATATCCTGTTAGAAAATTTTCTCTGTTTTTTTCTCTCAATTTTTCCCATACTAATGCTTCTGCTTTGGATAATCATATTTGACCTGACAGAGGAAGGCTCGTCTGAGTGCAAGAGCAGACCTCCATGTTCCAAAAAGGACTATTTCCAGATTCACACACCATGTGACCACGAAGGCAAGGTGAGGGAGAAGTTGACCTCTGTCAAACATGCTGATTGGGCGTGTTATGTTATCTCACTTTGAGATCTTTGTCATTTTATGTAATGTTAGACACAGGTCATATATAAGTGGATTGAGCCCAAGATCTGTCTGGAGGGCATCTCTGGAGCAGAAGCGCTGCCTGAGAGTGGCGAACAGGAGGAATGCCCCCCCTGTAACCCTGGTTTCTATAACAACGACACAGCCACCTGCTCCCCTTGTCCAACCGGGACGTACTCTGATGGGCTGAAACGTAAAAACTTGTACATATTTTTTTCACTGTCATCCTGCGTTATCTTAGCTGTACTTTTTAACATTGTTCATTTTCCAGCGTGCCATCAGTGTCCAGCTGGTACTGAGCCCATCCTGGGTTATGAGTATAAATGGTGGAATGTTCTTCCGTCTAACATGAAGACCTCCTGTTTCAATGTGGGCAACACTAAATGTGACCATATGAATGGTGGGTAGTCTTGCATGCTGTTTTTAATCTAGCGTTTTAGTCGACTTGGTTTTTTTTTTTTTATTTACCATTTTAACATGTTGTGTTTTTTATTGGGATGCTGGACATTTCATACTTTTTCAGTTTTGGTGATTTCCTGCTGTGCTTTTCAAGTTACAGAAAATGAGCCATCTAGCACATGCATGCTTCATAACAACTAACAACGATTCTTTACAGATCATTGTGTTGAGTTCTTTTGATAGATCTTGGATCCAAATTCAGAAAGTCCAGCTAAAAGGAAATGTACTTTTAAAATCTTCAGAAAATAATGCACAATTTAACTACAGGTGAGATTAGACCTTTTAATAATTGATCTCAATCAAGAAAAATAAGCAATGTAACCTGATGTATTTCTATTTTGCACACGTTTTTATTTTTTGATCTTTTTGTCACACAAACACTCATGAAATGATTGCATGGTCAGGTACAAGGACAGGAAAGAAACAAAGTCACAATTTTTAAAAGAATCTCAAGATAGCCACGTGACCTATTAAGACAAACCCTTTTGAAAAATGACAAAAAATGTCTACATCTTACAGCTATGGTCAAATTTGTTTATTAAGAACAGATAAGATAAACTAATGTCTTGTTGATGTCTTTTTCAGGTTGGGAAGCAGCAAGAGATCATATTCACAGTGGAGCAGGCAGCTCTGATAATGATTATCTCATCCTTAACATCCATGTTCCTGGCTTCAAGTGAGTGCAGTCATATTGTGTCCCCAAGCTCTCCATTTCCCCCTGTTGTGACTGATTCCACCTATTTGTGTTTGCATTGACCATCAGGCTGCCTACATCAGTGTCGAGTCAGTCAGTGACAGAATTTGGTCGCATCACATTTGAATTTGAAACCTCGTGCATGGCTGACTGTGAGTTCTACTTCATGATGGTGAGAGCGCCTCCGAACACAGCTGCGCTGCTCTGTAAATGCATAAATGTATGCTTGCAGGGTAATTTTTTTTAATGTTCACTTTTAGGACATCAATAGGAAGAGTACCACAGTTGTGCAGTCATGGGAGAAAACCCAAAAAAGACAAACCTACACACAGACCATGTCAAAAAATGCAGCGGTTTCCTACACATGGGCTTTCCAGAGGACAAACCAACCTTCAGATGTAAGTACAAATACACAGTTTTACTCAGGCTTTAGAACATAGTCACCAATATGGAAATTACTACTGGTTTCAATAAAAGTCCTCTTTTTTTTATGATATATTCAAGATGCCACATGTGGAGAGAGATTAAACGGGGAGATTGTATTCACGTGCTTTTATTTCTAAAGATATATCTTGGTTTTCATAAAAATCTATTAAGAAAGATATTACATTTATGGGTCTCAACAACAACAATAATAATGACAATAATAATAATAATAATAATAATACAGGTTTGTCTCACAAGTAAGGTTCAATGGAGGACCTTTGACACTGTTTTGCTCCTTCAGGCACGTCGGTATGTCAATGATGTGGCGCGCATCTTCTCCATCACTGTGACCAATGCGGTTGATGGTGTGTCCTCCAGCTGCAGGGCTTGTGCCCTCAGCACCCAGCCCTCCAGCTCAGCATGTGTGCCCTGCCCACCTGGACATTACATAGACACACTCACCAGCAAGTGCTTAGAGTGTCCTCGCAACAGTTACCTCGAGCCGCACGCAACGCCGGGTTCTGATGCCTGTAAAGCCTGTGGGCCAGCAAGCCGGAGCGATAAGGTTTGTAAGCGGTGCAGATTTATGTATCATGCTGTTTTTCTATTTCAGGACGCTAGAGGAGAAAACTAACCATAAAAACCATGTCTGTACTTTCCAGGACCACAGACTGTGTTACAGTGACTGCCACTTTACCCACACAGAGGGCAATGTCACGCTAACTTTTGACTTCAGTCCCCTTGGCTCAGCAGGATCGCTCATGAATGGCCCAAAGTTTACCTCCAAGGGAACCAAGTATTTCCACATGTTCAACATTAGTCTGTGTGGAGGACAGGTGTGCACAGAAAAGCCCAAAACAAAGTGTCAATAACGCAGTCAGTTAAAGGCGTTTGTTCACAGATGGATTCCTTTTGCTGTTTTCTCTCGTTTTTAAGGATCGCATGGCAGTGTGCACAGACAACACTACGTTGCCAGGTTCCAGCTCCCAGAGCGAGAAAACCGAGGGATCCAGCACTGTCAAGACCTTCATCTGTCAGTCAACAATAATCCCAGCAAGCAGACAAGGATTCCATGCTGCGCTCTCTTCGCAGTCCATTAACCTGGCTGACACCTTTCTTGGTAAGTGAACATTGGATTACTTAGTGTGAAAACCAGCAGCAGTCAAATTAAATAGAATTGCTGTTTGTTTCTTCTTCTGCCCTTTTTGTTCCCTTTAAAAGCCAACAGAAATGCATTTGCATGTTGGTCCCTATACAAGTGAAAGTGTAATGAAAACTCAATCTGCACATAATATCAATCCACCTGATGTCTAAACTTGTTTATCCATGTGATGAATAATTCAATGTCATGACGGGCATTGAATTATCCATCATTTGGTGAGAGGTGAAGTTCACCCTGGACAGGTCACCAGTCAGTCGCAGGGTCACGCAGAAACGCAGGACAATCAACCATTCTCAGACATCCACTAATAACTAAGACAAATGTAGCGTAACTAATTAACCTGGAGCACCTGGAGAGAACCCACACATTCACAGGAACGACATAGAAACTCCATGCAGAAAGACCTCAGGGCTAATTATGTTTTTGTTTTTTCTTGCCCAGGTGCAACTGTAGATGATAATCTTGAAGGAATAAAAGCAAGACCAGACTTGTTTCCTCCGAGGTCCAAGAAAGTGCCTGATATTAACTTCTTCTTCAGGTATTTTTGTCATATCAAATGTTTTTTTTTTTTTTTTTTTTTTTTTTTAAACTCAAACTGAAATATAGTATAATGTATATTTCTTCTGTATTATTTTTTTCTCCTAAGATCTTTTGAGGGAACTTCCTCTTGTGAGTCGGGTCGGAGTACAGTGGTGACTCTTCGCTGTAATCCCGATATGAGTGCTAAAGGAGTGCTGTCCGTTCCGAGGTATTATTTTTCTCTTTGGCTGCATTTTATTTCAAGCAATACGTTTGACCTTTATCATTGCTGTTAAGATTACAGCCTGAAGAGTAATGCTGTTGAAGAAGTAACATGGTCTTCTTTTGGCCATTTCAGTCAGTGCCCTGAAGGAACATGTGATGGCTGCACTTTTCATTTCTTTTGGGAGAGCTCAGGGGCTTGTCCTACATGCACAGTGAGAGACTATCATCTGATAGAGGGAGTCTGCAAAGGAGGACAACAGGTGTGTGTGTGTGTCTGCTGTCATAACATGAAACAGTGGAGAGTTTTTCTTTTGGCTCTTTAGTTAGACATATTCAACTTAAGATATGAAAGAATCGGGATGCTGTGGTGGTGCAGGAACAAAGCACAACCCATGTGTTGAGGCCTTACTCCTTGTGGATGTGGTCGTAGGTTCAATTCCCGTCCTGGCAACATTTGCCGCATGTCTTCCCACTCTCTTGCTACCCTCTTTCCTGTCGAATTACTTTCAAATAAAGGTCACTAGAGCCAACAAAACCTAAAAAAAAAAAAAAGATATTAAAGAATCTACATCAGAACAATGAAACACAGCTTTAATCGATGTCTGTGCCTTTTAGGGTCCTGACATGGCTTTATGTAATTCTGTAAATATATTTGTTCTTCCTCAGGACATGCTGTATGTGTGGACTGAGCCAAAGCTGTGTATAGGTGGCGTAACCTTGCCTGACAAGAAAACTGTGCCATGTCAGGGTATGGAGTTCTGGGTTCATCTTGGTGCGGGGACGGGGATCGTCACTGCTCTGTTGCTCGTCTGCCTCACTTGCTACTTTTGGAAAAAGAATAAACGGTACCTGTTAATGTTCCCTTGAGATTTCTTTCATTTTTATTTTCCTGTACTTTGACCCATGCTTCTCTTTTGTTCATTATTCATCATCATTGTGGTTCCCTCATGTTCTGTTTTTCTAACTTGACTTCACTCAACTGTTTTATTTCCCTTAGATTGTCTTTTTCCCTTTTCAGCTTTTTTTAATCAATTTATGTTGTAATGTTTCTTCTTTTTTTCTTTTGTCTTGCTATTTTCCCATTTTGTTTTTTGCTTACCATTCCTTCGTAATCCATTTGTCCTTTGACCTTTTCACAATTTTTTTTGTTTTCCATTTCCTTTTTCTTTTAAATATCTACTCATTTCTGCTTACTCTTGTTTCCTATTTTCTTTTTGTCTCTCTTCCTTCAACCCATCTTCCTTTGTTTCTTTCTCATTCATTTTTATGTTTATTTTTTGTTGTGTTTTCATGAATCATTTTTGTCCTTTTTGCTCTTTCTTGTTTCTTTTTTCCTTTGTTCTTCATTTCCCCCTTGTCACATTAGCTGTTCATTTTTTACACATATGCTAATCTGATATTTATTCTCTTTCTTGTCTCTGGAAGGTTGGAGTACAAGTACTCCCGGCTGGTTATGTCTGCCAACAAGGAGTGTGAAATGCCGGTTGCTGACAGCTGTGCTGTGATGGAGGGAGAGAATGAAGGAGACATGGAGGATGAAGTTGTGTATACCAAACCTTCACTCCTAGGAAAACTCAAAGCCATAGCGTCCAAGGTGAGAGTCACAGCATTGTCACACAAAGAGTTGTCTCACTATGATAAAAGCTTTTAGGCAGCTGCAGAATCAACACTTTTGCTTCTGCTTTCAGGGGAATGGAGAGCGTTATGAAAATGTGCAGCTGAACTCATCCCACTCAAAAGCATTGGTCTGGAGTTAAAGCTGTGTGAATGAAAGCTAAAATGAGGGAAAACACTTTCACTGGGTGGTCCACTTTGAAACTGCCCCTGTCATAAGCTTTGGTACCTGGAATACAACGTGTGTGTAAACATGCACAGATGAAAAAAATACATTCTTCATGTAAAGCCAGGTTCAAAAAAGTCACACCATCATGGTGGCCTTATTTCTTGGTACAACAGAGCCATAGTACTGTGACACAGATGTGTAAGACACTTCTAGCATTTTCTGGCTCAAACTTTAGTTGGAAAATGTGTTTTGAAGAGCTCAGGGTAATACGAGGACCCATGTGAGTTCTTGTTCAGTTTTGTGTATATTTATTTAATTATTTGTAATTTTTTTTTCTTTTTATTGTAGAGATCTTGATTTCAAACACACAATGACTATAGGTGCACTCTCTCATCAATTTGCTTTGGTCTACAATAATGACTTTCTCATTTTGTTTGTTTGGTTTATTGATTGTTTTGCTTTGTTGAAGAAATTGTACTGGAGAGATAAAATAAAGGATTGAAAATGAACATGCTATATAAAACTGTTGAGATTGTGCTTCAAATAAAAGGCATATTTATGTAGAAATTGACTCCATGTTATTTCATTATCAAGTTTAAAAGTCGTCTTATGACCTCAGCTACGGAGAAGTCTGTCAGACAATGGTGTGTGTGTTTTAACTTAATAGCGAATTTGCCGTGAAGTTACATTGGTAAACAATTTATTCCAAATGAGGTGATCAATATTCCATTGATTTAAATGTGGTAGGCCTTTCCTTTAAGTGTAAGGAACTGTGACAAAAATGTATGTTTTGTGTCTTTCTGCATTTGTAAACTGTAATATGCTTTTTTTGAGTATCTTCAGTGCCTGTTTTTATTTTCTCTCTCGATATTTAATTCACACCAAAACACATTCATCTGGTAAACAGAACCTGTCACCTTCCCGAATTAAGACTGCACATTTCCATTGTGCTTATCAGGGTTGTGATTGTTCAAGCAGATGAACACCTTTGGGCATTTGAAAATTGTTCTCAAGGATGAACATGACTTGTGAAGGTCCACTGTTCCCTTCCTCATATCATATTTCTTTAGATTTACTTTTTGCTTAAAACAAGTCCACATAGTTCATATTCCCATGCGATTGACAACATACATTTAAACGTAATTATTTTAAAATAAGCTTACAAAGTCATCTGAGCTCTTTTGAGGTTTAAATGGAAAGTATGGAGCACTGGGTGGCATGCACATGGACATGATTGGTAGCACTAAGACACTCCCCATAGTTGTGGTTGGTTGTTTTTAGCACTGGGAAAAGCCAGAGGAGCTCAATTTCTTTCTTTTTTTCTTTTTTTTTTTTATCACAGATTATCTGTCTCATACTGCCAGGGCATAGTGACAATTGTAACAAGTGTGTAAACATATTTTTTTTTTAATAAAAGTTACATATTGCTACTTCAGGAGTGACAAGATCATTAAACTGTTGAAAGAAAGTCAGAAGCGATTCCCTTCGCAGTTTATCACAAGCAAGTGGGAACACAAACACGTAGAAGTGGGTGCTCTGGTCAGGTGAATGTTTTAAAGATAAATAAAAGTTTCACCTTTATACAAAATTCTGTGCGATGAAAAAAAAGAAAAACTAAATGACATTCTGAGCACCTCCTTCCCTTCATGAACCCAAACATGGTAGTTGAAGCACTATGTTTTGATCACCTTTCTTCAGCAGGGACAGGCGAACTGGTCAGAACAGATGAGGAATCCTGAAAAAACCCTGCTAGAGGTTTAGGATGTGGGGGAGGGGTTCAATTACTTCAGAATTAATGGACAATTAAAGGTGCTGATGCTTGTGGCCCATTGTGAGCATCAGAAAACAAGTAATAATATTCTGGAACAAGTACAAATGTCTTTAAATGTGCAACGTTTCAAGAGATGCCAAATAAAAAGAGACTTTCAGTTGGAATTGTGGTGAAAAGTGGTTCTACAAAGTAAAGATTCTGGATGGCAGCCTATTTATCTGGATTAGTCTTTTTTTTTTCAAATCTTGCACCACCTTTTGTTGTTCTATCACATAAGATCCCAGTAAAAGTACATAAAATGCAGAAAGGTTCCAGAGATGTTTTCCAGTGGCTTGAGAAACATCTTTGTTTTGCGCTGCCTCTCTCCATTTTTTATTATGCAGCTGGGACCAGTGAAGGTGCAAGAATGGTGCAGTGATCCAAGCCAACCACCAGAGGGAGATCACTAGTAAATGGACAGTCTCAAAAGCAACTCCTCTGTTTATGTGAACTTTAAAAATTATGATGTAACCTTAAAGGATTATTGAGGAAAGAACTATAATTAAACCAATATAAAATACACAAATAAGATCAACACTCTGTACTTTAATCCTAAAATTACTTTTTTAATATAAAAAGTCAAAGATTTTGCTAAAACTGGGCAAAAAAATCTTTAGCTTAATCTTGTATTCAACTTCTTCTTCTTTTTTTAACTACTGTCACCCTTTCTAACAAACTGGTATTCAATACTGGCATGTATTTTCCAAAACTGGGGATCTCTCCAGTAGATGGTTTAATTGGAGTGCCATTACTTGTGGGAACAGATGAAGAGGAGTGTTAGAGACATCTTTAAACATTTGCCAGCAAACTCTGTGAATAGAGCCTATGTGTGTTTGTGTGTGTAGGTGAAGGTGTTGCTGATGAGACAAATCTACCTACACATTTCTCAGCATTAAGAAAGTTGGCTGACCACAACACTGCAGAGAGAGGGATGAAGAGACAACAGGAGATGTTTGCTTCATGGTATTTATTATGATGTCATCACAGCCTCTTTATTGCACATTTCATAAACGCGGGGTCTATTGCTTTGTGACCAGCCAGTTTCAGAGTTCAGATCGGCATCCGCTTCATTTTGTCTCCTGAGATCCCTTCTTGTTTCAAAGCCCAGAGGCTAGGGACACATTCTGTTATATAGAAGGGGGCTACAGCATGGAGACCTTTGTAAAAGCACATGACAGTTGGCAAGGTCTGAATAGAGGAACAGTGTCCTTAATAGATGGCTGCTTGAAAAGAATATTCATGAGGAAAACCAATTAAAGAAGTCTTCAGATTAATTTATTAGGGAGATGAAATGATCATTTCCTCAAGGTAATGAGTATTGAAGGAATGCTATTTCTTTACATCTGACTTTTCAATTTAACTTCCCAACATTCATTTCTCAGATCCTTTTGTCTGACATCCCTCTATCGCTTTTCTAACCTCGTCGAATCAGCCTCCATGACATGTGCTTCAGGAGAGCGCTCCAGTTCAAGTGTGAGCCACCAGTCTGTCGCTCTGGCTCTGGTGGTCTTGGCTGAGACCGAATCAGTCACAAGTTTCACACACGGAGCGGCGACCTGGCTGCACAAAAGGTGGTGAGGGAAAGGTTGAAGGGTGAGGCGGACTGTGAGCGAGAGGGTCAGAAAAGAGTGTGAGACTGTTGTCTTGGACTGGTCTCTGGACTAAATGATTGGAGAACCAGGGTTAAGTGCTCTGTTTGTGTGCCCATTAAAAAGCCGTGAGTACAGGGCCTCACTTAGCCCAATCTCATTGGGCTCTGCCAACTTGGATCAGAACCACAGACCAGTTTTTTTTTTTTTTTTATATCTCTCTTCCTTCTGTTCCTCTTCACTCAGCCACTCATCACCCTTTCTCCCAGCCCTGCTGACAACTAAGACATTCCAGCATTGAATGTGTTGGTTGTGGTTGTCCATAACAACCTGTCATGTGGTGTGTATCTTGTGAGAGCAGGACCACAGAGTGAATGGCTAAACCTTCTTCTAACAAACACAGTGAATCTCTGAGATGCTTTGAGCTACCATAGAGGCGCTGCTGACTTCTGGGCTGTGGGAGTGCTTTACATAATCCAGCAGTGGCAGCAGAAGCATCCCTCTCCTCTGCCACATCGCTCTCTCCCGCTGCACTCTGCACCTCACAAACACACCCCAATGTAGGTCGCCTCCTCCTGACACATCCTTTGAAATTTCTTTCCATTTATCATTCAGTGTAATAGTCACGGGAAGCAGTGCAAACATGCTGACCAGTCAAAAGATGGAACCTCTAAAAGTTCTCCAAAACATCTGTTTTTTTTTGTTGTTGTTGACAAAACAGCTTTTAAAAAGTGATTCTGATCATTCTGTTGAAAACATCAAATGTAACAGTCACACTTTATTTTAGACAGCATATTATATGTAAACATTTAAGATCAGTTAATAAATTACTACTATCTCTAAATTCAACAAATATTTTCAGGAAAATCAAACGACTGAAATAAAATTTTAATAAATTACTCCACTATCTTCAGCTATTTAAGTTTCCTCCTAAGAAGCTAATACATACTTTTGATTGAATTTATTCAATAATCTTATTAATACCCAACAGAGAGGCTGCAGTCTTTCTTGTCACATTTGCATCTGCATGAATGACCTCATCTTTTTTTATGTTATGTTATGGATATCTGTTCTACTCTTAACGTCTTTTGTTAGCAGCAATCAGCCAGCAGCTGACAGAATGTGCTCTGTTTCCTCTCCTGAGCCTCTGTGGGACTGCCAAAGCCAGCTGCTCCACTGTGCTTCCCAACGTAAACACATTTTAACACTAGCTTGTAAACTGCACACTTCAACAAGTCAAATACTCACTGAATTCCTCCTAATGATGTCGCCTATCTGTCTACCCCTCACCTCGCTTTCCTTACCTGAAGCTACTGTGTTAAAAGCAGGGGGAAATGGAAGTGAATCTACATTTTTAGAATATTCCTGTTTTTCTTTATGTCAGACTGGAGAAAGCCAGTTTAAGTTTGTGATTTGTCGGAGTTACTGATCCATTACACTAGGTAAACAATCAATGGCACTGGGCTTCACATAAAACAAAGTTGTTGCCTGAGTGGCATGGTTTTCTTTTTTTTTTTCTTTTTACATTTACCAAACAAAGACTTGGAGCTGGTAGTGTAAAACTGATCTCTAGCAACATCAATCTATCAAACACACATTAAGGCACATAGCCATATTAAAAATATCACCACAGACGGTATCTATGGGGTATGAATCTCAAGCTACTATTCCCCTAGAGGTGGAAAAATTCAATGTGTGTTCAGCAAAATGCACCCTTTTCCTTCATCAATATTTTTTGCAAATTAAGAACTCGATGTTCATACAGTGGTTTGCAAAAGTATTCTTGTGACTTTACAAACATAATATATCTTATTAGGATTTAATGTAATAGAGCAACATAAAAATATATGTTATTATGAAATGAAAGAATAAATATATGAGGTTTTCAAAAGGTTTTAAAGTGAACACACTTTGCTTTACTGAACAAGTTAGGGTAGACCAATGGGCTTTAAAAACATGTTCATTACACAAAATCATTCTCAGATGATGAGAGTTTCTCTGCCTATTTTGAACTCCTTTCACAGCTGTTTTAGGGTCTCCTCTCACTTTAAATACAAATAAGGTGCTGCTGGCGGCACTCCTCAATACGGTGTTTACACTCACACTTTATACACATTAAAATGGCTGAAAGCAGGTGTGCAATCATACATCTTTGACACCCAATCAGACTTCAAAGCAGAAGAAGCGGAGCCTCTAGCGCAACCATCAAGGATGCATAATTTCTGGGGGTATGTCAACAACAAAACACCTGTCTTGTCCAGCAGCCATTGTCCAACACACACAGCAATAAAACCAGCTGACCAAACATGCTAGAGATCCATTTGGTTTGCTTTGTAACAATAAGTGAGCAGTGATCACTTATTGTTACTTAATAATCAGGAGGTTTTTGAAACAACTAATTTTCCAGACACCAAGAAACATTAACTTCTTGTCCCAGAAAACAGGTGGGTGGTTTTTTTTTTTAGCATTTTGGACTCGGTTATGAGCACCAAAACATGTAAATTTTGCTTAATAGGTCCACTTTGGAAGCAAAAATCTGAAATATGTGGCATATACATACACACAGTCACTTTAAAATGCTCCCAGTGAAAATTCAGTGCTGTAATTAGTAACTTTAGCCCTTTCTGAAGAAGCTATTAGTAACAGTGGACAAGCTCCACATATCTGTTGCTCGGGTCTGAGAATCTTTTGAGGAGGTAACTGTTACTTATCCAGCTCAGATCCAGCTCTTATGGAATATAGACAAGAAGTAAGCACTGTTGGGGAAAGCTAGTCAATTTAATGGGAAGATGAATACAGGTGATTTCAGGGGGATCTTGAATGAAAACTTGTTTGAGGCTTCAAAACACTTCAGACTTAGTTTGAGCTTCATCCTCAAGCAGACAGCAACACTAAACATATAGCTAGAGCTTCAATGACAGTCAGAAGACTTGACAATTGCAGCTTACTGATGATACCCATTCGGTCTGACTCAATTTGAGCTGCATTGCAAAAAGCAAAGAGCAACACTTTTAGTTTTCAAATGAGCAAAGCTGGTGAAGATATACACCAAAGAATTTGATTGATGCAGCCGTAACTACAACGAAACGTAGATCTACAAGTACAAGTCAGCAGAAAATGCATGAAACACTTCTCAAAGGATTTTTACTTGTAAAATCCTAAAACCTAGCATAATTTCCTTTCATTTCACAACTTTCTGTTGCTCTATCCCATAAAGTCCCAATAAAATACACTGAAGTCTGTGGTTGTAACAGGACAAAATGTGAAAAGGTTCATGGGATCTGAATTCTTTTGCAAGGCACTTCAATTACTGGGTGAAAAACTGATTTATTTTTGTTCTTTGGGGCTTACATAAAGCATTAGCAGTACTGTCTTTTCAGTGAAGCTATTCATTGTTATTATTAATACATCACAGCAATCTTTAAAAGACACAGCATTTTAGGAGTGGGCGTGAAAAAGCGATGCTTTGCTGAACACACGTCTGGAATTATGGCCATTTAGATAAAGGGATCCCATAATTAGAAAATAGGAACATTTGTATCAAAAGCAAAACATGTTTTTCTGCCAAAACATCCACAGAAGGATTTTACAAAGATCCAGAATACAACAAACATCTATCAAGATGCAAAATGATATATTCTCAAACAGAAATATATCACTAAATTTAATGAATGTCTCTTTTTTACCCTTCCTTTCCCTTTCAATTTCTTTTCTGGCTGTTCTAGTTTGTCCAGTTTTAGCTTTTCTTCCACATTCATTCCAGTGTCACATGACGTTTAACATTGTGCTGTTTGAACCGTCAGTAGTATAATATACAAATGTACAGATCCACATTAGAAATGCATACACAGTTAGTTATTACAATGATGTACTACAAAAAAAGCATGAGAATCAAAAGTCTGTGTGTATTGCAGTGAGGCAAGCAGAGCCACAAATGTGCATCCAGATGGAAGGACTCAGTCCCCCTACCATGTTTAAGCTCATGTCTATTTACATTGAAACAAAGCTATCAAAAACAAAGGTTCCAAAAAATTCCTCCTAAAAACATTTTTTTTTGTTCTTTTGTTTCTCTACGTACAACAATGTTGATTCCATGTATATACATCCCTAGAAAATAATTTAATTATAGTTACACACTTTCTACATTTGTGAAACAATACAGTTCTAGTCCACAGGGAAGGCGTTTGCTTGTATTCAGTATGTGTATTTGTCTGCGGGCGTGTGTGCGTGTGTGTAAAAGAGTGTTTGTGTGTAAAAGGGGGGTAAAACAGAGCCGGGGTGAAAAATGTTCGTTATTTGGCTAACAGTCGCAGGGGCGGGTTTAGAGAGCGGACTGGATGCTGTCACAGAGAGGAAGTGGTCGAGTCAACTATTTCTCTCCCATTGCACACTGTTGGGACGAAGTGGGCGCTGACAGAAGCTATGAACAAGAAGGAACAAGTTGATTAAAACACAAAGATTGATAATTAATCAGCAAAGAAAACATTTACTGGATGGGAACCTTGTTTCCCACACTCTCCACACTCCTATTTTGATCTGTATTATTATTTTAAATTTGAGTGATTAAAAAAAAGAACCACTACTACAAAGTTTAGTGCTTGCTTCCAGCATACTTACATAATCCTCTATGCACCTTACAGGGATCAGTAGACCAATTTTATTGTACTACTACACTGTAGGTGGGTAAATAGCAATAAAGATTTATCTTATCTTGTACTACTTCTCATTCATTGCCCTAGGACTAGTACTAGACGAGACGTCTTCCTCCCACCTGGACAAATCACTATATAGATTTTGGATAAATTAACATACAAATGCTCTAAAAAATTGAGTGGGTGAGTTCAATGGTTTCTTTGGATTTTGGCTCCACTCTTGGCTGCCTTCTACTTGGTTCCTTATTTTTGCTTTTCTTTTTCAATCAACTTTTGACCTGAAAATGAAAACAGCTTCGTGGGCTTCAAACTTGAACATTTGAAATGTAAAATTTCTAAAAACACATTGAATTTCTCATGAAAGCTGCTGGTCTTACTCATGTCTCATAATCACTCTGCAGTTTTGAGAAAGAAAATGCATCTACTTCAAGTGCCCTTTTAGTAAACTACTCTGGTTTATGGCACCATCCTCTCTATAGGCCTTGTTGTTTTATTCCTGCCTGTTTGATCAGCTGTACTTCATTCTGTGAGTTCTGTCTGCAGTGTGTGTCAAACTGATTGACAAAGAAACTAGGACATACACCCATCAGAAAAAAGTGAACTGCTTCTGAGACCAGAACCAATCAATTTCAGCGCCACTTCCTTCCTGAGGTACAGCAAGTGCGCAAATGGCGCAAACTCTCCTCTCTTCTCTGATGTCCTACACATCAGCACTGTTTATTCCCTGTGGCCACATGAGAAAAACCTTCCACTTTAATCTTTTTACTTTTTGTGTGAACAAAAATAATAGTAAAAATGTTTGTGAAAACCATTTATTCCCTTCTATGCTTTAATAAATCTTGTGTGCAAAACTTGATATTTGCCAATTTTATAGAAATTGATGATCAATATTTCTGTTTTAACAGAACGCTTTGTTCAAATTAAGACAATTGTAAACCCAAATCCACGTGATGTGATGTATTTTTGTACTCAAAGGAACAGTCAAAAATGTAAATGCATTTGTCATTGGTGTGAATGTGAAATTTATTTTAGTCTTGATAAATTTACTGGCAAATCATAGAGGTGGTTTCTTTACATTCTTTTCCTCTTCAGAAAATAGAAACATTTGTATCAAAAGCAAAACATGTTTTTCTGCCAAAACATCCACAGAAGGATTTTACAAAGATCCAGAATACAACAAACATCTATCAAGATGCAAAATGATATATTCTCAAACAAAAATATATCACTAAATTTAATGAATGTCTCTTTTTTACCCTTCCTTTCCCTTTCAATTGAGAGATGTTCAAAAAGTTGATGAGAGCTACTCCAGGAACTCAGTTTTAACCTGCTTTATGTTTTCCAGAACTATTTTAGGGGTCATTGTTGGTGAAGGAGACACTCAGTATAATACCACCTTCACATTGACTGACAGTTGCTCTTAGATTTAATAGCCTTCCTGCGACTCCTCCAAACTCTCTTGTCATTGTGGCCAAACAATGACAATTGTCTCCCCTGACCATAAGATGTTCCCTTAGAACATATTTGTTAATAAAATGTAAAATTTTGTTATTGTAATATTTCATTGTTGTACAATTTTCAGTGAAATAGAGAAATGGCATAATGAAAAACATGTATTTACATTTAACTTTGGATTTTACTTTTTTGAAAAAGAACATTGGTTAGAAAACCAATAACTTTAAGTAAACATAAAATGCTAGTAATTCGGGATTCAGTACATGGAATCCTTTTGAACAGTGAATGCCAAACAAGCCCATCTGTCACAAAAAATAAAAACAACCTACCATGAGATGCGTATGTCGTGGCAGCCCCGCTGACACTGAAGCGGTTGAGGTTAAGACGGTGGTTGGTCACATTCTTCTGGGGCTGAAACATGATGATGTGGACCTTGGGCGCAAACATACAACCCAGGACTACAAAGCCACTTAGACTGACAGAGATACACATGGTCGTGGTTTGAACCTGGAAAAAATGATAAAAGTATCATTTGAAATGTTGTAAATAAAATTTATGCTTGTTTAAGTAGCTGTTGACTGCACAGTGTAAAAACTATTAACACCACTGAAATTATTTAATAATTTGCCATGTTATAACTTTGAAATTTGAGATTTCATCAACACAAAATAGTGCATAATTGTGAAGCAAATGAAAATCTGAAAAATGAGCCATGCATTTGTATTCAGCCTTTGTATCAACAGTTTCCCTCAAAAGGACCCTCGTAAATCTCCTGAGGAGAACAAAAATTAAGTCTTTGGCTTGCATGCAAAACAAAATGTACTTCTGAAAACTCCTGGTCTAAATTACTCTAATACCATATTCAGGGTTAACAATGGTGGCAGGAATATGGGAAAAACAATCTACCATGTATTTTCCATTTCACAATAATGCTGGTCTGTTGCAGTAAATACAATGAAGATTCTGGTTGTAAGTTTGCCTTTCAAAGGTACAAATACATTTGCAAGGCACTTCGAACTATTTTAGATAATCCTATTTCTTCAGTATAGTTTACTGATCTCTAAAATAAAACATTAAAATGCTGCTAAACAGATACAAGTGTATCTGACTTCTAGTCATGAATACAGCCAGTACAACACTAGAGTACAACTCTTCAGATCTCTTTACCTTGCACCAGTTCTGCAAATAACAATTACTGAATAGATCAATAAAGACTTAATCAACACAGAACACAAAAGCCAAACTTAATTGTCTCTCGGTGCTCACTTTAAGTTTGTCCTACGTGGTTCATTGTGTAAATCGATGCTAAGTACTGTCCCAGTCTCTTGATCACATGTCTGCAGAGGTGTCTGCTGCATGCTCTGTTCAGGCTCCCCTAATCACTGCTCTAAGTATTACAGCAAGTAAAATCACAGCACAGCTGAGTACATTCGTCAGTAATCAACAATTCAACATCTCCTCTGTTTATGTAAATATTTATGAGTGTGGGAGGACATTATGTCTGCGCTAGACTAATCTTTAAGAAAGATTTCTTAGAAATATTCCTGTTTTTGAAAAAGACAAAGTTAAAGAGGCAGACACAGCAACCCCCCAAAAATGGTACTTTTATTGAGGGGTCAAATGGGCAGCTCAGACAGCACCACTTCTGCCATGCCCCTTGAAACACACTCTGTTTGTGAACACGTCTACTTAAGGTGCGTAGATGCACACTCAGGATTTTTGCTGTTCAGAAGAACACTCATTCGTCTTTGATGGTAAGTCTGGACATGTGTCAGCAGTTTAGCAAAGCCTGTTAGTCACCTCAGAACAGCAGAATTGGGACATCTGCGGATAGGATTAGCTACAAATTAAAGTTGCCACTGCACCTGTTTATGTTTTTCTGTTACCTGACTGTTTCTGTCAATCATACTGAGTGAAAAGGAGCTGCAATAAGGCATAGCTAGAAAGTAGTGATTTTTTAAAATATTTATTTTTAGCTTTAAAACTATCTTTATTTACAGATTCATCCTTCCGTTATCTGACACGCCTGTCCTTGCAGGGTCATGAGGGGGGTGGTGTGTATCTCCTGCAGTCAACAGCCGAGAGGCGGGGTAAATTCTGGACAGGTTGTCAGTCCATTGCAGTATTTACAGATTTTAAAGCTAGATCTCCTCAGTATTATTTTGAGGTTGTACTACAAAAGACTTCGACATTAAGAATTTTTCCCTTTTTTTTTGTTGTAAATCAACTTTGATAATTAATCCTTCTTGTATGTGTGGGGGAAACTTATGTGCAATCTAATTTCTTACATTTTTTTCAGCTGTTTTGCTGTCACTGTTAGCTTGTTCTCTATGGATTGAGAAAACTGGCACTAATAAAGACAGAGAGGCTCAACCAATTGCTCCTATTTTGAAACACTTTACAGTTACCCTCTTTCTATGCATAAAGACAGAAGGTGCAGAAGTGATCTTAGATGAAATTTACTTTTGTTTTTATTAAAAATCATACAGAGAACTCCTGTTTGTGAGGTGCTTCTCAAAACCCTAAACAATAACATGTGACTAAAGAAATTATGTCAGAATAGTTTCTACATCAAAAGTGATTTTGCAGACAGATTAAAAAGAAGTTACCTTTTAAATCTGTCAGTCAAATAGATCACTTTAATCTATTTGGTTCTCAAAAATGTATGATTGTGAAATTACTGCATGAAGTATACTGCACTAACTTGTAGTTAAGTGGGAACAAAAGGAAACATCTGCGATTTTCTGAAAAGAATTTAAACTACTTATTTGAGTACAAAAAATGGGCAAAAATATTGGTATACTTTGCAAGGATGGATAGTAAATTTTAACTTTTGTGACATTCCTAATAATGCTTTTTGAAAATCCAGCAGCACAGCAGGTCAGTTTTTTCCTTTCTTCCCTTTTTCTCCTTCTGTACCAAAATTACCTCAAGCTGTCAGCTGATGTCCATAACGCAAACAGTTTTGGTCTTGGAAAATATCAGGTAATTTGCTCTAACTATTGTGTGCATAGACATAAATGAATAGAAATGAATAGGCTTTCCTCTAGATACATTCATAATACCTCACTTAAAAGTGAAAAAACTGCACTGGTGCAGAGAAGCACTGCTTGGTGAAGGTTCTTACATTTAACAGTAAGAATAACCTGTATGAATACGCCCTTGGGGGCAGTAGAATCTTTTACTTTTTGAATAAATTTTAAAGAGTTCAATACCAAATATTGGTCTAGGAAGGCTTTATTTTGTTAAATGAAAAATATGAATAATTGAAAATGAGGTTGCCAAAAGTGCGATAAATTATTTGTTTTGGATTGAAAACCTTTTGCTTCAAAAACTGCAGGTGACTAACTCTGGATTCAGACATTAGCTGTTTTGTTTCGAATCATAATTTTCAGCACTTTAGCATGCCTCTCCGTGTGTCAGAAAATACCCTGTAGTCACTGGATGTGACATAGAAGATGGGGAGAAAGGCCAGCCAAATTATACAAGTCGTATACATGGTGAATCCAATAAACTTGGCCTCATTGAAGTTCTCAGGGCACTTCCTGGTCTTGAAGGCATACCTAGAAAAAAACAAAAACAATATCTAACGTCTGAAACACTGAATGAAAGGATTGGCAATCAATTTAGCTGTTGGTCACTTTCTTAGACTCCAACACAACCTACACAGTACACAAGATGACCAGGAGCACATCGTATCCCAGTGACAGCAGCATGCTGGAGTCTCGCACATTACACTTGAGGATGACAGTCTGTCTTCGTTCTGGTAACGTAAAGCGCCTAGTCCCAGGAACCTCCAGCAGCAGCCACACGGAGACCATGACCAGCTGGACAGAGATCAGACTCAGGCAGATAAATACCTGACAAAGAGAAGAAAGAAAGAAGAATTAAGGTCACTGAGTTTCTCTGTGTCTCAGTTCCTCTCTCCATCCTTCTGGCTGATGCAGATTGATGGACAGAATGCAGAATTCACTCACTTGAGAGAATGGGCTAATGAAGCGCGGCCTCACTGCGCCCGCTCCATCTTTCACGCCATTGAAAATTCTGGCGATTCTGTTGGTTTTGGTCAGCAGTGCAGAATAGCACACAGCAAACGACGTGCCCAGGCCGAGGCGCCGCAGGGCACATATAGCCGGAGAGGGTTTGGCCAAGAAGAGGAAAGTCATGGCATAGGACATAAAGACTCCAGAGAGGAGAATGTAGCAGAGCTCTCTGCCTGATGCTTTCACCAATGGTGTGCTGTTATGTCTGACGAACACCCAAACCACCAAGCCAGTGCACACAAAGCTGCAGAGGGGAAGCATGAATCAGACAATCAATGGTGTGAACATACAGTAGAGCTTATGTTGCGTATGTGTTGCTTGACTGGAAATGTTAGAAATAATAAGGACAAAAATATTCTGTAGTTGGCATTTAGAGGAGGAATGGTCATTGTCTATTTGCTTAATGAAAGCAAAAAGTATGTACATTGCCTTAAAAAGTATTACTTGTCTCACTGTGTTATGTTAAAACTTTGACATCTTTTATTTAAATTTAATGTTATGGACCAAAACAAAGTTGTGCATAATTATAAATTATAATTATAAAAGTGATACGTTGTTGCAAAAATATGTTTTTCTTTTCTATCCATCTTCCTATCAACTTGTGATATATAATTTGTGGCAGAACTTCTTATGTAATTAATTGCTTTCTTCTGCCACTGTGAAGTAGTGAACATGTGTCATAATATTTTCCATACTTTATGTCTTTACATAGAACTATATCTCAAACGAAATATTAAGATAAAGTTATAAAAAAGGGAAACAACTCATCTTTATGTTAATCAAAATCCAGTTAGTATTACTATGTTTAAGTTTCAAAAAGATATGATCATACTTTAAACTGGGTTTATAAAAAGAAACACCATTCAGATTTGTTTGAGAAATATTTCGGAAAGCGATTTTCAATTATTTTATTTAACTTCTGTTTAAATTTGCATTTCTAAAATGTATATCTATCTGTTGGCAAATTTGCATATATTTCTAAAAAATGTTTTAATCTTTTTCACTTACCCAACACATGCAATGGTAATAGGACCAATGGCCCAAGCATCTTCCCACATAATGTAGTCCTCAGGAAGATCGTAACAGGATGTGAGGTCATCAGTTGGCCACTGGCCGGGAGCGCAAGGCGAGCAGGTGAACTCGTCAGCCAGGTATTCATGAGGCTCACACGCCGTACAGATCCAGCAGCAGTACTCACCTGGGGAACAATAATATGAGAAATGTGTGGGAAAATGCCTATAAAGTCAATGCAGCTTCACTTTGGCAAAACAAAGTTTGAATTCCCTCTCCTACCTGCCTGCATTTTCTTCATTTCGTTTCGCTCACAGGGGTCGCTGCACTGTGAGGTTGGGAGCACCTCTTTGGGCCAACGAATCAGATCGCTGTTCAGACTCAGACTTTCTGCCCACTCACCTACTGGCACGTAACCATAACGTTCGCCAGAACGCTGGTAGCTAAAGATGTTGTATCTGCCCATGCCGTCCCCCTGGGAATCAAACTTCACTACCGTCTCACTGCCTGGAGGGGATAAAGGGGCTGTGGTGGGGAAGAGGAGATGAAAGATAAGGAATCACAAACAAACAATGCATTAATGCTTGCTGTACCTAATCTTTTTAAAAGCAGCTGTGGACACCAGATATTAAACAGTGGCTGCCTTGGCCTTTGAGTTTGGAAATAATTGAAGGCCATTCAAATTCTGTTTTTATTGTTGAGAACCAGACAGTTTCAGATATTAGCAAAGAGGCTGCAAGTGCCAGTGACGCTTGATGATAAGCATGTCATATTCCTCTCCAAGGTACCATAGGGATACATTCGCTGGCCTAATATCTTATCTGATCATGTGTATCACCAAAGGCATCGTTAAGCCTCTGTCTATAAAAACATATAGTCATAAAGGCACAGAAATAAAGACCCTGGGCAATGTAATAAGTACCCACTCATTGATGGAATTAGCCTGTGTCTCCTCTGCGAGGGAGGCACACTGCTGAAACTGCCAAATTGGTTTGTATACATGTTGTTATGAAAGGATTACCATCTACCCCCAGGATGTGGGAAGAAAGGAGATTGTAAAATTGGCATGATGCTGAAGCCATAAAAAGGAGAAAATGACTTTGGACTGGGAAAACAGTAACCTGACGCATTGTTGGCAGTATCCGACCTGATAGTGCTGACACTTCGTCCTTTTGACTCAGACAAAGTGTGTCTCTCCCACAATGCCACATCTGTCCCTATTGCGGAGCAATCAAATCTATGTTGCTGACACATAGAGATATGTGTTATACAGTGCAGCCTGTCAAATGATGATGCGACTGGGGATAGTGCAAGATATGCCAGGTTTTTGATTCCTCAATGTACAACAAGACTCTCAGCCCCTCAGTAGATAGATGCTCTGATAATATGGCAACGCCTTCCTAGTATCATTCTGTGCTTGGGTTGACAGAAGAATTTGCAGGTCAAATTCAATTTTTATACATACAGAACGAGATCAGTAGGATAAATCAGAACAGATTGGAAATAAGCCTTCAGATTGTCTGTGAGGATGTGCACACAAACGCATGTGGGAACCCTATTAGGTTGTACTTCCAGTGTGATAGCTAAGGTATTGCTCTGAGCTCAGTGGGAGGCTGTGCTGACAGAACGAAAGCCTTGACCCTGCTGTTAGCTTGCGCGTGCATGCGTGTACACAAGCATGTAGAAATGGGTGGCACTGACAGCAGCAAAAGCCATCCAATTGTTGTGCAAGCTCAGTGTGTTCAGAGAAGAATGGCATGTCAGATGGCAGCAGAGGGGGTTAGCGTTTATGAAATCCATAAATCACAGAGACAGCAAAACCCTTTATCTTCCTCCTGCCTCCCCTCTGTCACAGGAAATTCAAAGCGTCAAGTCTTATTTGAATTTTGGGGCTAAATGGTTAGTTGACAGTTAAATTATTTCAATAAGAATGTGGAGATAATATCTTAAGATGAAGAAGAGATATCAATCATTATCCCAGCTGCTGCCATATAATAAAGTCTTCAAAATAACACAGAGTAATAGGTAAACCAGGCTATTTTCCAGTGAAAAACACAAACACACTTTTAGCAAGACTTTCCTGCCAGCCAATTATCAAAAATATGTGTTGCCAGGACCTTGGATATGTACTGAAGCCAAATGAGCTGTATGTCAGTAATTACATGTAAAGCAGCCTGAAAGATTACAGATGCCTCTGATGGTCCCTTTCAGCGTTGTCCTTGAATTACCTAAAAATCGGCGAGTAAATAGATTGTTAGGACTCCCGACTTCTTATTGACTGCATGGAGGTGGATATGCTGAGTTCACAGAATGTGTTATCAAGAAAGTGTCTGCGAGTGCAAGTTTGAGCCAGTGAAATTCTCTATGACTCCTCAGAGTGGAGAGACGTACTGGAGGCTGATGGTAGATGTTTTCTCTTTGAATCTCAACTCAGATTCAAAGAGGATTCAAAGAGGATCTTTGAATCTGAGTGAAGAGAAACCTACATTGCATGTCAGAGGTTTGCATACACACATTAAATTAACTTTTATAACATATTCCACATTGTCTATGATATAAATTTTAAAGGGGTTATGTAAAATCAACTTTTTTAAGCTACGCATTATGTTATTCTCTCATAAAAACAGCAATTATGAAATACCTGGTGCTGAGTTTGTCATATGAACTATTTGTCAGTCTAACACTGCTAAGAATGATTGTAAATGGCATAATGAGAAACGTTGTTGTGATGACGTGTTGAAGGCAGGGTCAGAAAGAGCATTGATGATGCTCTCGCGTTGCAATCTGACTACAAAACTGATTTTTCCAAGAATATGGAAGATGAGGAAGTGGGTGGGGAATATCAGAGAGTTTGAATTGTATTGAGTAAGTGATATAGTAAAGGTTAATGTGAACTCTGACAAAGGTTGCTGAAATAATGCTTGATACATGTTGGTCTATCCAACTGATTTGCGTGTAGAAGATTTACAGTCTTGTGAAAGCATTATCTGACAATGTCTGGAAACACAGTCCAAGATACCTGAATGCAAACAATCCTAAAATAGGGCTTTTCTCTGCAAACTTCTTATCGTCCACTGGGACACTCTCAGCGTAACCCAGCAATAAGGCCTTTTTGTTATCTGCTTCTTTACTGATGTTCAGTCTTGACTTCAAAAACTCCTCAATACATCCATATCTGCCCGACAGACATCTACTGCCTCCTCAGAGTAACCCTGACCAGCATGTAACACTACAGGTTGAGGCTCTCCTAATAGAGAAAGAAGACAGCATGCCAGACTGTTGTCCTGCCTCAGACTCTGAGTGTGTGTATGTGAAGCTTGTTAACTATGTTGAAAAGTTTCCAATCAAAATGAAGTGGGACAGGTCTGTGTCACATTGCACGTCTGAAAATGGATAAGTAGTTTGCTTTTTGTATTTTTTAATTTTTGGATTTTAGTTTTTTCATTTGCCACATACAATTAAGCCAAAATGACTCATACCCCTACTAGGACTTAGAAAGTTATTTTCCCAAAACACTGTTTTCTGACTGAAAATGCAACAAACGTCTCTCAAAATATCAGAAGACAATGTAGCAAATGTACCAATTATGAAAAATATACACTGGTGTGTGTTTTTTACGTTAAATAAAGATGACATTTTGAAAATGTGTTACATTTACAAATTTGTTAAAGTACACTATGTTCTGACAGTACGAGGTCAATACTGGCCTGTGAAAGAAATCAAATGAGACATTACAGATGCTTAAAACGCCAAGGTAAAGTCAACTCTTTGTAACAGTTTTGCTGGATATATGTAAAACACGCAGGACACCAGTCTTTGGGGACTGGAGTTGGACACATCTGGCTTAGACTATTCATCGACACAGTTCCCTGAACACACAGTGTAAAACAAGCTCAGAAGAGCATCAGGTTAACTCAAACATATATAGTCTTCCCAAATATATATGGCAGGAATTCACAAACTGAGGATCAGGTGTGTTGACTACTTATAATGATCAAGTAGTGCAGGGTAGCACAAGAATGAAATCTAAAAAGTGAGACTAACACATAAAAAAGCAAATACAATCTAGATCAATTCCACATGACAAAAAATAATAAACAAAACATTAAAGTCACTGCTTTGACAAGAAAAACATGATGATTTTGCAAAACTATCTGAAAACCTGGACTGCACACCGGAGCAGTTGGTTGTACCATTGCCTTGCAGGTTCTGGGTTCAAATCCCATTCTCGGATCTTTAAGCGTGGAGCTTTCCAGAGAAAATTTCGGCTTCCTACCACAGTCACAAGGTGCATTACCCGCTCACTGCCGGAGATAGGCACCCCTGCAAGGATACCTGGGCTCAGATAATAGAAAGACATTTAAAAAATCTATGAAGACCAAAAATTTAACAAAACAAAATGGGACAATTCCAAAAAGTAGCAAATGCCATTAGTTTGGAAACCCTCTGCATAAAAACATCTCTGAAGTGAGACACTTTAGCAATTCTACTAACTTGAGAAACACCTTATTATTCTGGCTTAATTAGAAGCATGGTGAAGACAGGCTTTTCATTCAGAAGGTGAGAAATTAATTATGTCCTCAGCCATGAAGGGCTAACGCAAGGCCCAAGAGGGTATGTTGGTGTTTAAGGCAGGGAGACAGAGAAGGCAAGTGGTCTTTGGAGAAATAAGTAGGAATAAGTCATTTTAAAGGGATGAAGTGAGAATTTCAGAAACTCATTGAAAAAATAATTTTCTCTTTTATTTCACAGTGCGTGTCTGACACAGACGCATCCCTCAGCACTCGTGCATAAATACACGAAGATGCACTCGTATGTCACAAATGAACACAAAAGCGAGATCACATTAGCTTTTTGTTCTCCCAGCAGATTCAGTCCCAGAGGATGGAAATGTTGTCTGGGTCATACTGCAGAAGGCCACAAGGGAATGAGAGAGGACAGATAGGAAGGAGAAAAGGAAGTCTGGATTGACGAAGGGACGAAGGAAAGCAGAGTAGACCTAAGGCCTGAGTGAAACAAAGATGGGTGAGATAGCCAGGACAAAAGAAAGAAACCTTCAGCCAAAAACAGGAGGTTCTGGGATGGAGAATGGGCCGAGAGACAAGATAAGCGCAAGAAAAGAAGTAAAGTGACAAAGAAGGAGAGACAGGTGAATACAAGTGTAAAAGAGGGGAAATACCCCAGTGGAAGTACCAAAAACCACTGTCATGCTAGTAGAGATACAGGTGGAAGGAGGAAATTCTTCAGAGGTAAGAATCAATAAAGAATGGATGAAGGAAGGATGGAAGGACAAGTAAAAGGAAAGGGTGCCGGAACATACCGGTGTGGAGAGACAGCTGAAAGAAGGAAAGCAACCTTGTGAAGTCTGTGTGGGTTGAGCTGTTTCTGAATGTAAAAAAAAGTAGGATGTTTTCTAGGTGAGAAATAGGAAAGGAGATGGAGCGATAGAGGAAAAAGAAGGATTAAAAAGCCAAAGAAATAGCGACAAAAAGATGGAGGTTAAGAGACAGAGTCAAGTGAAAACAAGGCAGAGAATGAGTGAAGGTTGTTCACTTGCATCTGAACGTCGCAGTAAGCTCTGTGCTCAATATGGCCCTGAAGGCACACCGCCTCTGCTAACACAGACGTATCACACACACACACATGCACACGCACACACGCACGCGCACACGCTCACGCACACAGGGCAGAAAAGGGGGAATATAACATCTATCACCACTATTTGAACAGAGACTGCATGCATGTGTGTATATACTGATCTGTTTGCTGCAGATCGGGGAGGTGGGTGGGAGTTGAATGATGGCTCTGAGAAGTGTGTGGGTTGGGGGTGTCTGCAATTCCATGCTGGCAGAAAAAAAGCAAGCATTTCAAGTTGGCTCTGTAAAAAAAAAAAAAAAAAAAAAAAAAAAAAGGAAAAAAAAAGCTGACTGTTTTGCAGATTCCTGTCTATATGTCTTTTTGGCACATGTTTATCCGTGTTTTTGTGGTTGAGTCATGTAACAAGGGCTCATAAAAAATGCACAAAATGCACAAATCTGCCCCACTGTCTGCTGCTAGTTCTTTCGGAGCGGTTCCCGTGATCTACCAGATCACCTCAACAATTGGCAGTAGAGTCGGCTTTATTACCATAGCAACTAGCTCGATGAGACTAGATGAAGAGAGCTGCGACTGAAAACACTCTCCTAACCAAACAACATGCTGCATCAGTGCGTCACATAAAGTGTCAGGGAAACACAACAAAACAACCTCATTACAGTAAAAGACATTGTCCACTGTGCTGTGAAAGAAAATCCACAAAAAGAAAAGACTTTAGCACATGTGGGATAAAACTTTGATGCAATATGAAATCTGTGTGTGCATTAGATCTATGGTGCGCTGAGAAGTTCTGGTTCTCCAGTTCTGACAGAGAGCACTGCGGATAGTGATGCGGCAGCTAAACTCCAACACTCCTCACCTTCTTTTCCACTCACTGTATCAGCTATACAGAGCAGTGAGAATGAGTCATTCAGGGACAGCCAACAATTGAAAATAAGTGCTGTCCTATTCTACTCACTTAAACCGAATCACAATCAAGCTCTTATAGCTATAGATTCTCTGAATGAATACATCCGTCTCATAGACTTGTTTGATAGGTAACGGGAGAAAGAGACAGCAACATAGAAAAGTGAGAAAAATCACATTTGATCTTCTTGATTTTCTTCCAGATCTACACCATAAACATCCTTCACATGAGTAAAGTATGACATATCCTTTTACTGTTCAATGGTGGAACAAAGTGAAACATTGTTTTTATTTTTTATTTGATTTTTTTAAAAACAAAATTACACATTAAAAGTTATTTTGCTATTTCTTATAGACCCATAGTTACTCTTGGATGTGCTTTTAATTGATTTTTTTAGGACGACTTCATTGGCTGCTGGCTCTTTTCTGGTGTGAAAAGAACCAGGCACAAACTGGACGGCTTCATGTGTGACGCTCTTTTTTTCTAAATATGAAAGGAAGTAGTTTAGTTAAACAAACTAAATAAATATAGTTGAATCTTTGACAACTCTTAAACCAATTATATAATATAAATTTGGCAACTTCCAAAAAAAAAAAAAAAAACATTAAGGACGATAGCGTACCAAAAACAAACGGTGCAATTTACTTTGAATAAATAGTACCCTGCACTGCTGCTGAATGGAGTAGGGATCTGCATTGGTAACTTCCTATTGGTGCCAAACTACAGGGTTGCAGTTAAAACTTTAAAATAGTTGGACCGGTCAAATATGAGCTGAAAAATTTTCACTGAAAAGAGACTACTGTACTTTAAAACAGTGAAAAATTTATGAGGCATTCATTTTATTTGTAAAGATAAAAAGGATGGAATTTAATAGTTTTTTGTATTTGCATGAAGACCAACAGATTAAGATGAGAAAATGTAAAAAAAAAACAACAAAAAATGGCTTTCTCACTTTTTAAAAAACTTAAAACAAGAAGGATATTGATTTATTTGTGCTTTGTAATTTTTTTTACAATTACTATGCTACTTACCCTTTATAACATAAATGTATGATAGCTACTAAAAAATTCCCTTAATCTTTGAACAGAGACTGCATGCATTTCACTTGTGCTTTACTGGAGGTGATGTGAGGTAGTTCAATCAATATTGCAAGCAACTATCTAAAATGGAGAGTACTGTTAATTTTTATGAAATTTGGTCAACTTTATTTGTGTCATAGTCTTTTTTTTTATCTAACCAAATTTTCATGATGAGAACATTTCAAATAAAACCGTGTTCTTCAGCTGACGCATGATGTCCCACTCAGGATCTGCCGCAGCTCTTGTTTGTTCACTCCTTGCTTCTCTCCTTACTACTTTTTCTCTCCCTTCTTTTCACCTTACCCCAAACTCTCTCTTCTCATTTTAGTCTGCCTGTCAGTCTTATCTGTAAGCCCCTTTCTCTCCCCCAACCTTCATGGATGATGCCATTCCCTCGTCCTCTTTCCATCCCTCCTGCTCACTCTCCCCAATGTCCCGTGGCAAAGCCGCTGTTAATGTTGTTTGCCAGGGTGTTTTGAAGTCTGCTTCTGGTCACGGTTGGTGGGGGAATAAGCACCTCTAAACCTGTGTCAGTCCCTGAGATGCAGCAGTTTATTTATAACACTTCCTTTGTGCGTGATCTGTCAGTCAAGCCAAACCTCTGTCTCCTCTCTCTCGACTCTTCAGAGACTGACAGACAGACAAGCTGCATGCTATAGGAGCTATTATAACACACACACAATCTCATTAGTGTAAGAGAGAAGAATATGGCTCACGGATTAACTGCAGCTCTCACTCCTCAAAGCAACTTTGTAGTGTCGTATCAATTACGCATGGGTAAAAGGTGTCAATGGCAAGCTGGCTCTGACAATACATAGCAATTAAGAGGATTTGTTTCAGTACTTTTCATGTTCTGTGGCATAGAAGATGGACAACAGCCATGTGTTCATTAGAAGACCGTTAAGCAAACACTACACTCACATTCCTGTCTATTTCTTCTTATCTTGTATCCTTCCTCTCCAACATTTGCTTCTCTTTTCACTTCATCCACTCTCTCCACCTTATCTGGAACTCGACACTCTCTTCACCATGCTCTTGCTCACTTACCTGTGAAGCTGACATTAAGAATGTAATCCCTGTAGAGTCTGCGCCCATCCAGGGCCTTCATGCTGTCACACAGCTTGGTGGTGTTCAAGCACAGGCTCCGCTGCATGTTGTGGAGGGCACGGGCCATGGCATACACTGCATTCACCACAAACATGATCTTGGACTCTGGCTCGAAATACCTCTGGTCCATCGACAAGTTTTTGTCACACGGTGGAAGAGGTGTTCCCCCGAAGCCTAAGCCTCCAGCTCCCAAAGAGCACTGGAAACGCTGCTCCCAGAAGTCCCTGAACCAGGGATTTCGGTGGTTTTTCACAGGGTCCAGACTCAGGAAGTAGCGGTTAAAATCTGGTATAGGGTTTGCTGCCAGTTCAAGTGTGATAGCTCCTTCAGCAGTTATTTCATTTCCCTTGACAATGCTCTCCTGTGCACCCCAGCCATCACTAGCCACCCAAATGAAAGAGGTGTTAATCCTGGCTGCAGCTGCAATCAGCTCTCTGGCATCATCACTGCGCAGGAAAAGGACGGCCACGTGGGCATTTGGCTTCTGGAGGAGTTGACGGATTACAGCCTCGTAAGACTTCTTAGCATTTGAACGTCCCACCTAGAGAAAAACGAGAGATTATGGAGTGAAAACCCCCCCGAAAAACAAAATGCTTTTTCCATTCTGATGCTATTTGCAATCGGTGATCATCATCATTTAATGGAGGAAAACAAGCAAGAAAATGTGCTTAAAAGTCTCACGCTATTATTCACCTCTGTAGTAAATGACATAAAAAATGGGACTGTTAAAGCACTCAGAAAGAATTCTTAGAGATAAGCTTTTATTTTCTGCCTCAGCACTGATAACACAGTAATTTTAACCCCAATTCAGAAGAACAGGAGATAAGCCATAAAGGAAAAATATGAGAAACTTATAAATCTAGCACCTTTGTGAGTCTTTTTGGTGCAGTGAATATTTAAGATTTGGATTCTAAGCTATTTTTGTTTCTTTCATTACCTTCTCTGAAGTGGCAATGCAGATGTTCCTCATTCGTGCTTCCTGTTCGAAGGCCTCTATACCAGTTTCACCATAATCTCCCTCTGATGCCACAGTGGACACGTATGTCCAGTTAAAGAACCGGAGGATCTCTGCCATGGCTTTGGCCTGGTAGAAGTCAGGAGGTACAGTGCGGGCAAAGTAATCATAGCGGGTTTTATCGCTGAGCTTGGCACTCGTTGAAGCATAGCTTATCTGAGGGATCTGAAAGAGCCTGAGAAGATTGGCAACCTGCAAGGATAGACAGTAGAGTAAGGCATACATTTCTAACGTACTACACGAAATTACTGAATGAACACACATTTTGACATTCTCTGTGTCTGTGATTTGTTTTTTTTTCAACAAATGGTCATGCAAACCCATGAGGGAAACAGTTTTCTTATAAACTTAATTTACATCAATTATGTTTTGGTGAGGTGTCAACAAGGAGCCAGTTTCTTTTGAGTTAGTTTTGGCATATGTACCATCACTCTGTATAGACAACTTCTGCTCAAATACTGCAGCAATGGTCGAGTAATAACATTACTTATATTAATGTCACGCTACATAATGAAGATTCTCTTTCTGCTCCTGAAGATTTACTCACCACATCATGCAGAACATTTGAAACAGCTAAAAGTGGTGGCTTGACCTACTTTCAGAATAATCTATCTAATATTTTGGGGTCATGCATAAAGTGCTGAAATTTTGTTCTTAGATGGCCTAAAATATCATATAACATATTGATCTAATAAGAACGAAAAATATGTGATTTTTAAAAAAAATCCAGATCTGTAGTAAACTAAATAAAATACAAAATGAAAAATAATTATTTGATAAAATATCCCTCTTGATGTATAAGTCTTTTTTCCCCTTCTTGCCCCATCCACCAAATTGTGATGCCCTGAGTCATGAGCCTTTTCGCCCGTATGATAACACACCAGTGATGGGAGAATTTCAAAAGAGAAACACACACTTCAAAGAGGTAACAGGACTTGCTATTCTATAAAACCCCCTTCATTTCCTCAAGTTTATACATAGTAATATGGTTCTTAAATATGCCAGCATACATGGCAAGATAGGTAATAGTGTGACAGCAGCTTTAAGCTTAAACAAGCATTGCGGTTAATATTGTAATATTGAAATTTGCTGATTTAGTGAACTTCTAAACAGCACAAGTTTTGCCCAGAGCGAAAAATAATCAATTGCTGTGAAATATTCAAAGCATGTTTTTGATAGAGGAGCAGAATCCTAATTGAAGCGGTGTTTGCAGCTTCAAAACTCTTCTTGTGTGCATTACTCAAAATGTTTTTGATTTCTACGTGTGGAGTCAAAACCGTGAAAATCCAGACCTTCAAGTAGGTCTGAATTTCCTTTATGAAGAGGATGATGTTAGATGTTCAGTAAATGTTTCTGTCACTTAGTTGTTACTTTTGTGTTATTCGCATTTTGGAATTAATTAAAATGAATCTTTAATCAATCGTATAACTGATGTCCTTTGGCTAAGGGGTCAGAATAAGAGTACATTTAATCGAAATTCTCTCCCAATCTATAAATTAAATAGCTGAAGTTGGAACTATATTTTTGTGCATTTTGCTTTATTCTGTCTTTTATTTTCTCTTTTTTATGTTGTTACTTGGGTTACTCACTGAATATTGTTCGCAATTTCATACTTCAATACAATTTTATTCCATTCACAAAACACCCGCCAAATGTGGAAACTTAAACATAACTGTATAGCAGGGATGCAACTTTAGTCCTTGAGAGCTTCTACCCCGAAACTTTTATGTGGGTCCCTTCTCAAACACACCTGAATCAAATCAATAGTTCATTACCAGTCCTCTGTAGAGCTGAATGGCATGTTGATGAAGGAATTAATTCATTTGACTAAGGTATGTTAGAAAGGAGATGCATCTAAAAGTTGCAGGATACTGGCATCCTGCTGTACAGCATCCATAAAACAGACACAGAGATCATTAAATGGTTTATAGTGTCCATAACATTTGCCTTTCATGATGATTGGAATCTAGTCATGCTCTCTCCATAAATCCAAGCACATGATCAAATGCAAACAATGCAAACACAGCTGCTACACACGCTCATGCTGACAGACTCATAAATATACAACATAAACCTGCACGCACAAATCAACAAACTACACAGAAATGTTGCGATTTCTTCAGTTTAATTCTTCCAGAGTGCATCGCTCTAGGTTTTTCTGTATCTCATTCATGGTGCGGTTGATGAGCTGTTTTGACAACATGTCAAAATCCTATTAGACTAATAACACAGCTCAGTAGATGGCACGCAGGTTGAAATCCACGCAAACACTCTTAGACACACTGCCACAGTCACACTGATGTCTGCTTTTAGCCATCCAGGAAGGTTTCATGAGTTTAACAGCAACAAACGGTGTTGACTTAATTGTCACTAAAGGTCACATTCTGCTCTGCTCTGTCAGGTGCCAGCAGACAGTGACAACATCTACCAACACGGTTTATCTGAGGGGACATGGCGAGTTCACTTCACTTTATTCTCGTGAGCAAGCAGGGAGGGAAGATAGTAATAATGTGGAAATAGGTCGAATGTGAGAAAAATGGAAAGAGGAAAAACAGAGAAGTGGAGTGATAAAGCATCAAAACATAGGTACACTTACTCGTGATTTCAGAAGATGTAGCATTGAGCAATACCTGTCAACTCTTATTCTAAACTTGAACTTAAAAGAATTATGTCTTTATGCTAAAAATGGGGTAACTTTAGGCTACAGAGGCATAATTATTTCTGCGAGTAAAAATATGCATGACGTGACTGTATAAATACATTTAGGGAAATATAAAATGAGTAATACCTGGATGTGGCTCAGACTCCAGCACAGGCGCACTAACATAAACACACAAACTAAGGATGCATCCACACACATAAATGAAGGTAAATACCTTCCAGGCATTGAACTGCATGGTTCAACATAAAATAATTCCATATGACTTCATTAAGAAGCAAGAGACATACTGGCCAAGAACAGAGGCGTAGCTAGCTAATCTTTAAAGGACGGAGACCAGAAAGTAGGGCAGCGTTAAGGTCCTGTGAATCACTCTCACACCTAAAAACATACGTTAAAAATGGCAAAAGCAAAAATAGGGGCAACAAGAAGAAGGTGAAAGGAAACAAGGTATAATAATGGTTAAGGAAGGACAAGAGGCAGAGCGCAAATGTTGACAATGACTGCCTCAGGATGGAGGAGGAGGAGAAGGGGGCTGAGGTCATCATAAACTGATCTTTTCCCTAACAGCCAAGGGGAATGCCTGTGGATGCACATAAAGACAACCCACAATGAAACAGAACAAAGCAAAGATTTGAAGTACATGAAAAGACAAATGCATAAAACAGGAGAGAGAGGGATAGAAAAAGAAAAGGGTGAGGAGACTGAAAGACAGTTGCTCAGATTAGGGATTTCAGAACTGATAGGAGGAGGCTTTTCTGCAGTCACAGAGGAGTAAGAGAGAAAAAGGTTTTATGCTAAACTATGTAAATCACCCAGCTCTGTGACAAGAGCAACAGGAGTTAGGGAAACACAGACGAACATGCTGACTGAACTTGATTCAAAGAAATATGCATGTGCACGCTAACTAACACACAATCAGACCATGGGAGCCGGAATATGTCAGTTTCCAAACCCTCAGGGTGGTATACAAAAAAATATCAGGAATGTGCTCACGAAGTGTTGAATATGTTGCTAATATTAGTAAATGTTAGTTTTACCTGTATGGAAACACTGCTATAGGATCCTCCGATGACCCCTGCGATGGCAAGAGGGCTGTCGTCCTGCAGAGCGTAAGATCCATCAGGACAGATGAACTCTGTGTCATCCACCTTGGTGAGGGAGGCTCTCACAAACTCCAGAGCCTGGAAATCAATCAGAAATGGTTTTCCATCTCTTTGAACAAATGATTATCAATATATGTTCAGGGCTTTCAATGTCTTCCTCAGTAAAGAGGTCCGTGATTCAAATTAGATCCTTCTGAAAACAGTAACAGAACAAGTGCCTGACAGAAGAACCCCTTGAACTTTTTCACATTTCATTATATTACAACCACAGACTATCTTTTTGTTTTATCCGATTACTCTTAATCCTAAGAGTAATCAATAGATTACTCGATTACTAAAATATTAGTTTACAACAGCCCTAAATATATAGTCTTTTTATTAAAAGATAACAATTGCTGGAGGCAAAGTGCAGTAATCGTTCTTGTAATTTGGTTCATTTTCCTAATAGAAAATAGTTTCAGTCTGCCTCTTTCAAGCATTAACATTTATCTTCAGAGACAAGAACTTTGGCCCATTTCTGATGAAATTTCAAATAAGCGAGCCACAGAACACTTGAATATGTAGATCTAATTCGACCTGTTTTTCTCAGTTCAAATTGGATTTGTTGCACTGTTTTGCAGATCTCTTTTTTTGCTTATTTTCAGCTGTAAATGTCAACTGATGCAACTGAAAACTCTACACATGGGATGTGCGCTGACTATTTATCTGCACAGAGGCAGAACGCGTGTTCAAAACATACCCAGAAACATCCAAAAATTACAAATATACTGATGTCTTTGAAAAGCAATTGAGCTCACCCACCTGCTCTAGCGCATATGTATCTCTTGAGCAGGTGTCAAGAATGTGCACCCCAAGGGAGACACCCGGCAGCACAGTGCTGTCCATGTTGATTCTGTCTATGGCAAACAGCATGGCCTCCAGCCTCTGGATCCCTCTGTCTTCATTCACACGCCCACACTCTTCCATCCCAGCCCCTTTCTCGTGCACTGGAAACAGCCCGCCGAGCACCAGGTCGCCCTCAATGCGGATCTCACGGCGGGACGGAGGTGGGTCTGCCAGCAGGGCGCCTTGACACATCATGACAAAAACTAAAGAGGGAAGGTGGGTCACCATGTTGGGCTCAGGGAGGACTTGGATTATCAAAATGTGAGGTGAGAGCAGAAGCAGAGGTTGAACCGGAGGAGAGCAAGAGGGCAGAGATTGATATTAGGAGTGAGGGGCAGAAAACGCAGAGGGTTTGAGTCAAGCTGCGGCCGTGGATGTTGCCGTCGTCTTGTGGCCCATGGAATGGTCAGGAAGTGTTGAACTGGACCAAACATGAAGGGGCAAACCATCTGGGCATCAAGTCTCCTTGAAGGTAAAGGGGAGAACAGGGAAAAGTCCTAAAAAAAAATCCCATTTAATATATAGACTTCACAATAAATTGCTATTAGTACAATGAAGCATGTGGTGGGGTTTGAGGATGTTGTTAACAACGGCTCAAAGACATTCGTGCCTCACAGCAAAAACTCAGCCGTGTGGAATATCAAATTGCTTAGAGGTTCTCCCTACCCCCTGCCCTATTGCATCACTCACAAAAACTTTTTGTTCAGAGTATGTGTGTGTATGTGATTGCAGATTTTAGCTGTGTTTGTGCTTCTGGTTGTGACAGGATACGCCAGCTTAGATGGCTGGTTGATACATGAGCCCGGTATTTTCATGCCACAGATCAGAGAAGCTCCGCTAATCTGATCTCCCTCTGAAAATTTCTCTCCTTGCCCATGAAGTTTTATGTTTTACAGTTCATGCGTGCATGCGTGTGTGTGTGTGTGTAATATTTATCACTCCCACTCTCCCCCGCATAATTAGAGTGTGAGGACTGAATAGATTTTACCATGAAAGATGCTATCTGACAACAATACGGCCAACAAAATCTGATGCTGCTGAGCACAGCTTATGACTCAATTAAGGCTGAGTTTCAACAGCTTTGCTGCCCATCATTTCCCACCTCTTGTTCAATCCGTTAATATAAAATATTTATTTATAAAACACAAATTTTCCAACACTAAAAAGTCATTGCAAGGCAACATTCATCCATTATTTGACTAGAATATATTTCCCCTGCAAATGGTTCACTATTTTTTTTTTAAAGTCATGTAAATCCTTGATTCAAAGTGAGGAGCAGAAATCTGCACATGGTGCCACAAATGGGAACGGAGGATCACTCCAGTTCAAACACAGGGTGGGTTTCTGCTTCCAATCAACCCCCTTGTAGCCAGTTGTAATTATTCCCCTGAGTCCCTGAATACTTTTGATGTTTTCCTGTAAAATTCAGTTCAAGGGATGATGTACCTGACTTCCTGCAGTCCTGCATTTAGGTCATTTACCCAGCACAAGAGATTTTGACAAAATATTTGAAAATGTTCTTCTATGAAGAAGTTTACAGTACAACACACTGCAACAGACTGATGAATTTATGCAGAGACATTTTGTCTGTACATAAGAAAGTTAATCTGAAAGATAAAGAAACTTTTAGACTTAGACTTAGACTTAGACTTGACTTTATTGATCCCTTGGGAAGACTCCCTCAGGAAATTATATATTTTAAACAATATGCTGGAATTACCAAATTTTGGACACGAGTCAGATCTTGTGGCTTTCACTATTACATTTCACTATGAGGAAGAAAGGTCTAACTTAAATACCAGTAAAAAAAAAAAAGATAAAAATATTGCAATTTCTGAAGATGGTAGCTTTTACAGTTTTAACATGACCTCCAGAGTTTTTAATCTAAATATAAATGATTTGTCTACATTAAGATACAGAACAGAAAGCGTTTTACAGGATGAATACATCTAATTCCATTAGACAAGAACATTATACTTATTTCGAGAGAAGAAGAATGTTTCTAATATACAATTTGGGGTCATTTTGGGATAATTTTGAAAGTGTTAATTATTTTAATAATTATATTCATTAGATCAGTGGTCCCCAACCTTTTTATTACCGCAGAGCGGTCAAGACTTGGCAATTTTGCTGCGGCCCAGCGGTAGGGGGGGTGGTCAGATAATGCTTCAGCATGTTGGTGTTCCCGCTAAAGCCTTTTGTTTAGTTTTTTTTTTTTCCCGATTTTCCCTTTACAACAATCTTACAATGTCTTTGCAGTGTGTGGTGTGTTACGTGGTGGTGTGCTGATTATCCCCGATCTAAAATTGAGCATTTTCAACATTGCCTTGGCCCTTTTAACTCAGCCTGTGGGTTTTTTCCCTGACTGGAAGCGGAACACAACCTGTTGAATGTGATACGTAGCTAATCAGAAAGAGCGGTGATGTAAGAACGGAGGGGAATCCCAAGCAGCTGTCTTTTATTGCTTAAAATGAGTCCACAAACTATCACTGTTTCTACATCGTCATCCGTGTTTGATTATTTACTGGATTTTCTTCTGGAATCAGGATGTTCGTGAGAAGAATTGGATCGGCTGGACACACAAATCGACCGAACCTGTTGTTTATCGGCTTGGGTCATGTGAGGTCACAGATGTTTGGAAAATCGGCTGACAAGCCTTAAATCGTGCCGTGTGAACCAGGCCTAAAACTCACGAGCTCCACTCCTCTCATCTCGTCTCACTGCCCTAACACTCTCCTGCTCTGGCCGCTGTGGTAACGTTTACATATCCCTTCAAAACAAGATACAGATGCGCCACAAAAAACAAACATTTAACTTTTGTGAACATTTTAAGTCACAATAATGACTAATGGGAGCCCTGAGCTTGTTTCTCTGCAACGAGACGGTCCCATCTGGGAGAGATGAGAGGCAATGACACTCAAAGTGTTGCTAATGCTCAGCCTATTTGGTCTGTACATGGTGAAGCAGTTTGAAGCTTCATTCTCTCATTAACATCCGGTCTCCATATCGTGCAGAGCAGCTTGGACTGTGGGAATCACCTACCGGGATAAATCCATTCTCCTGTCTCTTCTCTGGGCCTTTTCCCTTCGCAAAGAAACTTTCCAGAGACATCTGATCTGTTTCTGATTCATTTTGCTGCTTGTTGGCTCAATGTTGGCACAGAAGACGTAACCAAAAGAATCCGGCTAAAGTATTCTCAAAATTAACGATTCTCCAGACTCAAATAATACATAACAGGGAAATATATAATTATTTCTTGCACAGCCCGGTACTAATTGGTCCACTGCATTAGATGACTTTCAAAACTCGAGCAACCATTATTTTCTTAATTAATTAACTTTAGCAAACTCTACTAACACACTCAAGAGTACCAGTCAGACATGTTTTTTTGGCTGAAATGGACTTTTTAAATTTTTTTCTTACAATAGGTACAATTAAACATGTTTTATGAGAGAGAAGAACAAGTCAAAACGAGCAGTCAAGGGTTTGAGAAAATATTTACTTATAAAAAATTATGTTCTCCATGATTGCTTGTGCTAACTGTTTCCTCAAATGCCTTACTGACAGTATGATTATTATACCAAATCGCATCTTCTACAAGTAATGTCCTGAAAAGACTGCCAAACAATATGTAACATTATTTTTATCATTGCCCCTAAGGTTCTCAAGGAAATTGAATGTTTGCTTCATTATTACCTTATTGAAGGTGCAAGAGCGAGTGGATTGAGAGAGACAACATTGTATGAAATCAAATCAACAGAAATCCATTTCAGAGTCCAAAAAACTTCATTGCTCTCTACAGTACTGCTGAATATAAATCACAGCAGCTTTGGTGTGTGTGAACCTTTTTATTCAACTGCAAATATTTTTTGTCTTTATTAAGCCAGTAAATCTAGAAAAACTACTGATCTGTCACTTTAAAATTTGATTGATCAGATGGCAGGATAATTTTCCAGACTTTCTCATTCCAAAGCTACTCTGAATGGAGTATCATTTCTAAATCACTTTTTGTTTGATAAGGAATTTTGTTTTATGGATAGAGTAGAATTACGTTCACACACTAAAGGCTATCTGAAACTATTGTAAGGTTTAAATATTGATTTGCAGCCTTCTCTACTGCTTTTTGACAGATTTTCCGAATCGCTAAAATATATTATTAATAAGTACATTAAAAATTATGAAACTGTATCTTTGACATTCCATTCCCTTTACAAAAAGTCAATTACATTCAACAAAATAAATTCCAATTAATCATTTTTATCAAGCAGTTCAGTGAAGTTCAGTTTACTATTTAAATTGGTTTAAAAAGTTTTCTACCTAAGTTTGCCCAGTGGATTGCAACAAGTTATTAACTTGCAGCCTTCTCTCCTCCTGAACGAGCAAGTAGCAATAATGGACAATCGCTTGCATTTCGTTGTTGCCTTTTCAGCAATCCCTCAGGGCGAGCGTGCAAATACTGTGATGCTATGAATTTTTACACAATGTTTCTACATTGGGTATCAGCACATGGCTAGTTGTCTTGGTACCATTGTAGTTCATACAAATTACAAATGAAATTTTGAGTAAATTTTCAACATCTTAACTTTTTTCCTTTCCTGCTAGTTTTAATTAGGGTTGCAAAGATCACTACACCAGAGATTAGAATAGTTTTTCAGTTTTTTTCAGTTTTGCCATAAACAGCTCTGAGTGGCAGGTCAAATACGGAATAATCTCTTTTTTTCTATTCATTAGATGCATTAAAACTGAGGACATCCACCATTCCAGTTCAACAGACTCGTCAATAAACAAAGTGTACTTTGATACACTCCTTGAGTTTAATTAAAGATAATCTAAAAGTTCAGGATATGCTCTAGTGCATAAATTGGGAAAGTTTCTCAATTGATTCAAACCTACTTCCTTTGTCAGGTAGTCTGAAGCAAGCTTGTTTCTTTTTTATGAGTTACAGTCTTGAGGAAAAAAAGCAAGATCAGATGTCAACGTAAGCTGGAAATTGATATCGATTGGTAAATGCCTCAGCTAGTTTTTTAATCGAGCTTTTTTGTATTTTACAGGAGGGCTATGTTTTGGAACAATGTGCATAGACTTCTGCTTCTAGTAAGTGATTAGTTGCCTTACCAGATTTGAGAAGATTAGAAGAAGACTGCAGCTGGCACATGGCATCACCTCAGACCCCTTAAAGAGATGCGTAGGACACACGGTGGATTAGCAGCAGATCTGCAAGGATGACTGAAAATAAAATAAAAAACAAGGAAAGTGGAGGATGTACTACTGACCTTTCTGCCAGGGAGTTATTATGCAGAGTAACATCTGACAGAAAACCCGATTTCCCTTCTGACCTCCCTAAGACAGTGAGCCAGCTTCATACAGAGTACGGCACTCATCTTCGGGTTCTCACATTTGTTTCCTTCCTCAATCCCCTTTTTGCTTTTTCTTCTGTCCTTTCTTTTTTTTTTAACTCATTCTATTTATTTCCACCTCCCTTGCAGCCTCCACAGCCCTCAGTCTCCCCTAACAGGCACGGCTGCGGTGGATGACATGTATCCAGCTGAGAGCAGCTATACAGGGTCGATGGACCATGGTACTGAGAGGAGAGATAGCCCCGCAACTCTGTGTGTTTGTATATTTGGTCTGTTTCCACCGTGTATGTGCGAGTGTATGCTTGTTTATTGGCCTACTGTGAATCCAGCAGAACTCACAGATGCAACAGTAACGTAAACCTCACAGTAAGGGAAGATACACTATGGGCAACTGTGCGTTATAGGACTGAATATAAAAAAAAATGTTTTCGTAAAGTGAAACTCTTACATTTTAAATCTTTACATATTTATTTCTGTCATTTTGTATGGTTAAATACAATGAAAGGAACATTAGCACATTATTACCTCTTGATAAATGTCTGAAAAGAGGACTACCTTTACTTAGCCCTCGCTAAACAATTACATGGTGTCCTAGACTTCACTCAGTCTAAAGGGTGCAATGGGCTGTGACCATTAATTATTCACAAAGTACATTTTAAGGGGGAAAAGCCTGATGATCCATAAATAGGACAGAAGGATACAACAAACTACAAAAAAAAAATAATAATAAGTGGGCAGCAAGACACACACCATTAAGAAACACAAAGCTTTGGCAAGTAGCTTTGTGTGTGTGCCCTGCATGTTTTAGTACTTGGCTTACTTGGGTTAGAGCCCTTTTCATTTACCAATCAAAGTCAATAATCAGGTTCTCCGAGCTCAGCCTTTCCTCTATTGATTAATCAGTCTACTCCGTGAGCAGAATTATGCCCAAAGGTTAAAAGCCATGCCATGTTAGAAACATAAAAATCGACTCTCTTTGGTTTTGCACAACACTGAAATTTGTAATATTAAATTGCATTCATTTTTGCTTTGCATGGTCATAATTTCGCACTGCAGAGTGTGCAATCCACATGCTGGGACAGATAAAGAAGGGCTTTTAAAATGGAATTATAATCAACCCCCGCAAGAAGTGTTGTGCTTCAGGGCCACGGAGGCTAAACTGTGCTCTCATGTGCAGTTCGTGCTCCATAAGTGTTCTCCACTAAAGGATTTTAGAGCACTACACAAAATTTAGACTGCATGGGAGCATCCAGAGTGAATTATTTGCTTCACTTTTGACCCCCCAAAAAACTCATTCAAAATGCTTCGGAACACAAGAAATGATTAATTAACTTAAAAATGCCCACAACCTTTACCTTCTCACTAATGTTCAATTAACTGATTTGACTTAAAACACTTTCAATGTAGTTTCACAACAGCAAATTCAGGATATAAAGTTAAGAAGCATGAGGCAGCATATGAGTTAAGCCTTTACTCCTCACAAAAGGTGAGAAAAAGAGCTGACATGTCCAGACATGCATCAATAAACACATATGGTGTTATGCTAGAAATACATACTCTGCACAAGTTTGAGATGGGATTTATGTCTCTTTGAAGGGAGTCAGATTTTGTGCATCTATTTCTTTCTAAGAACTTATTTTTATATGTTAATAACTTTTTTAAGAAGCAAGCGTGCTTCATGCTGCATTCATGGCCCTGTGAAGAAATTTACTTTTTGATGAGCTTATATGTCTGCAGTATTTGGAAAAAAATAAAATAAAATCTGTCTTAATTGGTGATTCTTCTATTCACTGTTGTAATATTCACTCAAAAGTAGAAATGAACAAATCAACAGGGTAATTTTCTGATCATGATTAAAAAAACAGCTTCTCAGCTAATGACCCAGCAGCAGTTTGGAGAAGCTTGAATGACATCGCTAGCTGCCCGTGAAACCACACTGTGATGTATGTCTTTTTTTTTTTTTTTTTTTAAAACAGCAATTCACACCTCCAACCAATTATCCTACAGCCCATTCCCACACAGTCTACATGTCTATCTTACCATTTTTGTCCTGCATTGCCATGGAAATGGCCTTTAAACAGATATAGACAAAAACAGGTTCCAGAGTGAACATTTTGCCCTCACGTGTTTGTGACGTTTTGCCATCAAACCTGACCTCTTACCCCAAATGTGTCCAACACATTACACATAGCAACAACAATGATGGATTACATATTCGTGGATGTGCTGCAACTGCTGCAAAACTGCTGCAAAAAGTTCTTCAGTACCCTACTTTGTTATTTGCCAGTCTTGTTTTCTTGTCATGCTTATCATGTACCTTGTGTGAATGCTTTTTGCGCATTTTCCGTATTTGGTGCCACTTACATGTCTTGGGAAGTGAAAACAGTGTTGTGGGCTGTTCTCTGTGTTTCTGTGTGAATGAAAAGAAAATCTGAAAATGGTCCCCTGAGGATACGCGGGTGTTTTTGAAACCAGTAACCCCGTTTTAGAAAAAAAACATTATCTGCAACCCTTACAATTCTCAAACACCCATCACTCTGACACCCTGCCTCCACTAAAAATCATTGAGTAAGATATAAATAGGCTCTTTCAATGACAGAGGACCAAGAAAGTTCCAGGACCTGATAGTATGTCCCTCTTCTGCTTGACAGCCTCATCTTCTCTCAGATCCTCAACAAGTCTCTGGAGCTATGTGAGGTTCCCTCCTACTTCAAGCATTCCATCATTTTCCCAGTCCCCTAAAAGCTCACCATCACAGAATTAAATGATTACAGGATTGTTGCTCTGACTTCTGTGCTCATAAAATCCTTTGAGCAACTGGTGTTGAAATGTGTGAAGGCAGGCCCCCTGGTGGAACCACAGCAATTTGACTACTGGGCAAACAGGACACAGCAAATGATGCAATCCACTTGGGACAACACTGCATTCTCTGCCGCCTCGATGATTCAGTGATGTAGATAGAGACAAGTTTTTTTTCCCCCAAACTGGCATATTTGTTTGAGCTGTTCAGGGGTGAACCTAAGGCTCTGAATCAAAAGTGGGTTTGAGGTTAAGGTCATAAACTGATGGCTGGACATTCTTTTTCAGGATTTTCTGCTAGAGATCAGATTTCAGAGTTATAGAAAGTGGTTCAAGTTCTGAAGTTGCAATGCAGCACCAGACCATAATACTACCACAACCATGTTTTACACTCTTTATGATACTCTTTTCTGAAATTTGTTACATACCAGATGTAATAGGAGGGATATTCACCTTTTTTTTCTTGAGTCCACAGAATGTTTTCTAAAATTCTTGTTTCTTTGAAAAGCTTCTGCAAGAGTTGTAATTTTGGTAAGATCGGAATTTTCTGCTAAGGATATATTTTCAAATAAAAACAGGAGTTCTCTTCTGTTTCTTTTCAATAGGTCCTCTCTATTATTTGCTGCAAAGAAATAATACCCTCAACTATTCAGGGCATTCTGTACATTCTTGAACAATTTGATAGCTACATACTTAGCATAGTTAGTTTGAAATACAGTGCATCACAGCAAAGTCACAAAATGTGATAATAACAAGAAGTATTGTGACAAATACTGTGGAAAATAGGAGAAGAAAAACTTAGGCATAAACAGCATGGCCTGTTCTTATTATACAGGTATTTCTTTAAATATTGTATACAACTTTGAACTCTGCATTAATTTTGTTGCTCTTTCCATATTTTGTTAAAAAGGGCATAACATTTCTGCGCCACAAATGTGATCCGAGAGCCTGTCTGTGTTTGCTACTGCAGGAATAACCACAGTACAGCCACAGTGGCTTAACGAGGCATTGTCGTGACGATTCTCTGAGTGAGAACAGTTTCGGTCTTCGTTTTCCTCACACTGTGTATTCCCTAAGTTTTGATGATCCTCAACTCGTTTGACATGACTTGGATAGAAATGTCTGTTCAGCCTAAAAACAGACCAGTGGTGGTGAAATGTGTGGAAGCATTCATCAGGACCACATTTCATCGTCGTAAAAGATGGCAAGCCTGTCAGATGGAGAATTACGCCTCTGTGGATGGAATCTATCAACTTAACTGTCATGTAATGACCCTGGGAGTTATCGCGACACATCAGTCAACCTTGCCATGCTACAGGTCTCACTGCATACTACTTAAATTATGTTCTTACACACACGCTGGTCTGTCATCTCTCAGGTTGATATACGGGGGTGAGCACTAACAAAGGAGGGAAAAATGGAGAACAGTGACCACAGCCATCTGAGGAAGTTACACAAATGCATATAATCGGCTTGTGTGGACACAAAAGCCTCTTAGACAGAAATAATGTTGGTTGTTTTGGGTTGATTCAGATTAGGTAGTGATGTGTAAAAACCAATTACTGCAGTCATTGCTTTGTAATTATTAGAATTTAAATAATTTTCCGTTTTGCACTTCACATTATTCCGGGATTTAATTTTTTCATATTCATATTTAGTTGTAACAGTCATATTTAAGCCACAGCACAATGGCTTGGAGCTTTAATTTGAACCTAAGCGTTTTCATTTGTCAGGAAGTGTAATTATTAATAGTTGTTCATTTATGTAAACATTTCTTGGTTATGATGAAAAGAAATCATATAATATGTTTCGTAATATGTGTTACAGCATTTATTCATGTTATGAATCTAGTCTTTTTATTAATTTGGTAATTTTTGCATTTACGCAAGTCACTTCACACAATAATGAAGACAAACCGTATATAATTTCTGTTAATTCTTAATGTTGAAGCATAAGTCATTTTTTAATACCTGATTTTTGTCTGATCAATATGTCTGCCAATTTAGCTGAACAAATATTTGTGAACAAAATACATTTTCTTTGATTTGGGACAACATATGTTTTCATAAAAGTTAAATTCAATTGAGGAAAACCTGACTTTCTTTAATTACAGAGTAAGCTACTATGCAAACACTACATATACAACTTAAGATTCAAACGACAGCAGCTTTAAAGGAGAAGTAAAAGCAGGCTATTTATCTCCAAATGTTTTGTGTTTTATAAGCAAATTCTTTGAATGATGTTAGCAGTCTTTTTTCATCAGGGTTGTAATTGAAAAGAAAATATGCTGTTGGTAGAACATGGCGAACCGAGACAGAATAAAGTGAAGAGCTGGGAATGAATCTAGAAGAAACAAGGAGCCAACACAGTATCGTTTTCACTCCCGACAGTAAGGTCATGACCAACTGCCTTCAAGCTGACAAAGTGTAACTGCTGGTACCAGCTCTTACTAGGAATGCATTTTTACTTCTTGGTAAATACTGAGAAACAACCAGGTCTCAGTCTTCTTTTGCAACACAGAGTTTTAGGGACAGGGTTCTAACAAAAATCTTTTTCTGGTGAAGATGTCAGAGGTTGTATGATGACAATTCAGTAAGCTATCTAAAGTAATCATGCAACAGTGTCTCAACTGGAAAAAATAGTCCAGACTTTGACTAGGCCGATCCTTTAACAAGCCGTTTCATACCTATTGGAAATGCGGGTCTGCTTTCATTAATTATGCTGCTGCACAACGTGCACTTAGTATTAGTTGACAGCTGCATGTGTCAGGATTTTCTGGTGGAGAATAGAATTTTTAGTTAAAATCAGGCCTGGAGTACTTTAGATTTTGTTGTTTGTTTATGGCCTGCAGGATGAGTCATCGTTGCACTTTTGCAGTTATTTTTGGTAGGGTTGGTAGTTCTGGGAAGCTTTTCCATTTTTCCATGTTTTCTGCATTTGTTCACTGATCTTCCAGAAAGTTGGAAATTGATTTTTTAACTCGACTGAGAGATGTCAATAACTTTGCTTCAGTCTTTACTGTTAAGGGGACAATGTTTCACTTTTTTGAGATCTTTTAGTCTACTTCATATTGTATATTGGTTCTGTTGAAGTGATTGCCTGACTGTAGAGGCTAGACAGTATTTTAATCTGAGTGAGGATACTGAAACTCACACCAATTTTCAAAGAAGTGTGATTATTTACAGCTACTTTATGACTTAACAAAACTGGGAATCAGTATGACACTAGTATATCTTGCAATGGTGATAATATTGGTAAATATTTGAATTATGATTTTGATTATGTGATGCGAGATGGCTGTTTTTTCTTCCAACAACCTTTGGCATCCCTGCACATTAAAACCCTCAATCATTGTATTTATTTCAACCAGAATAACAGCGCATTATACCATGTTAAACACAACTTCATATTGAAAATAAAACTGTATAAACTGTCCAGCCCCAATAAAAAGCTCTAATTACAGTTTAAGCATTTTTCTAAATACTGTAAACTACATTGATTACTTCCCAGTGACATTCACAGCTCACATGCAGTGTGTAGCAGATGCCCACACAGCAGTGAGCAAGGAAAAGCTGAGCGGTCTGATGGAGAGGGTTCGACCTGTTCATTAACAGTGAATATCCAGGGTACTTACTGTACCAGATGCAACAGGGAAGGAGGACTAAAAGGGCAATTGTTGCTTTTAATCTATCAATCACAAGGGAAAGATGGTGTTGATGTTTAGAGGGAAAACTGTTGGACAGAAAAATTTAATAGACAGAAAAGGTCTTAGAACTTTAGTGGAAAATTCTGTTTATTTATGTGTAGCCATTATTTTCTACTTGTTGATCAGGAACATAGTTTGTGTGCTACAGCGGTTTATATTTCTGCCAAATCTAAAGTGGGGAGAGAGCTGGAGCTGACGGAGCGTAATGTAATCACTTATGTTGGAGGTAATTTCATCAGTTATGACATAAATAAACCAACTCAGTCAATGAATAAAACAATCAAACATGTAATGTGCAACTGCGTAACCTCTGACATTGCTGAGAAAGATGTGGACACCCACACTGTTGGTGTTATGCTTACTACAACAATATGAGCTCTTCTCTGCTGCAAACTGTCACACTATGAAGGAAAGTAAAACAAAAAACAATAATCATAAAAAATAAATAAAAAATCAAATTCCACAAAGTGAATTTTAGGTGCTGGTTGTATTTTGAATTTCCAAATATTAGACAATTGTAGAATTGTTGTCTCATTGGTGTCCCACTAGACATTATTAAAAACTGGGATTAAAATTGCTAAAAGATGCACCCGTTGACTTTTAGTGAAAGCTTTTGTCTTGATAATAAACAAATCCTGACCACAAAAGCACCTTTCACTATCCATCTCACCATCACACACATCCTTACATACGCTCACACATTTTTTCTCCTCCAGATCATCATTTATTAAAGAGTCTGATCTGTCGCAGACACACACCATCACAGCTGTACATCCCACTGCCCTTTCACTGCCTCATCCCCTGAGTGGACGTATGAATGTGTGAGTGTCTGTACTTGTAGGAAACAGCAGTGTGTCACTGAACAGACATCGTGGTGCATATGCTGTGCGTGTATGCGCGTGTGCACGCAAACCAGGATGTGTGAATGTTTTGTGTGGGTTTGTGTGCACAGCTCAGTGTATGTTGTGACTGTAGCGGATGATGAGAGGCGAGCTGTTGGAAACAGCAGTCATTTCCAGACACCTCCTTGTTTCCTCACTGGAGCAGAACAGTGTAAGGAACATGTAGAGTGCAGCAACAGTGTTTTAATAAAAACTTGGCAAACAAAGAACTTCAACTGGCCTTCAAAGAAAAAGCCTTCAAAGACACTTTTTTATTCAGAATAAAATATCCTTTCCCTTCAACTAAAGAATAAGTATTCATGTCTATCGTATCATGCTTTGCAATGGCATCCATACTTTCTCAATTTTACCATTACAATAGTCAATGTATTCATTGGGATTTTGTGTACAGTAGTATGTTATTAAGGTAAAGTAGAAAAGTTCAGATGTTTTTCAAATATTTTGATATAAAATGTAAAAATGTATGGTGTGCAGTTGTATCTTGTCTTTTTGAAGTCAATACCTTTACTGCAGATGGAAAATGTTGGAAAAGATCAAACAAAAATAAAATCTTCAGTTGAGTGTTTTAAAATATATATAAATAGAAATGTTTATTTTATTTTTTGCTGCATTTGTTGACTCCAGTAACCAGTGTCTTGTTTTTGTGTACTTTCTAAATTTCTGGAATGAGTAAAAAGAAGATACAAGCACTTTTTCGAGTCAGCATTCTGTGATGTTGAACTCCTAATTGTCTGAAATACATCCACCTCAAGACTGAAATTTTGTCCCTTTCCAATTTGAAAAATAGCCCAAATCATATATACGTACATCACATCATATCACATTTTTGAAAATCATTCAAGTCCTGATACAGTTTTGAAGTTTGAACCGTAACCTGTTCCACCTAACAAAGAGACATGCTTTGATTGAACTATTATGTTATAGGTGTGGTTGTGTTTTTAGGGTAATATTGTCCTTTTGAAAAGATTAACCTCTGCCACAGTCTCAAGACTTTACCAGGTTTTCATTTGGATTTCTATGTAGCTTCCTCCGTTCATCTTTTCACCATCACTAACCAGCTTCCCTGTTTCAGCCCAACAACAGCGTTCCCACAGGATGGTGTTGCCACCACTCTGTTTTGAGGAGGGGATAGTGTGTAAGGTCATCTGCACAGTTTAATTTCTGCACACATTCCATTTTGAGTATAGGCCAATAAGGTCAATTTAATGTCTGATCTGAGCACATTTTTTCTTTCACTTTATTTTTACATGTATGTCCTATGAAACTACAATCACAATTGATCTCTTTTGAGAAAATGATTTCTTTTTCTTCTCTTTTGTTTTTTCTGCCTTCAAAAGCAAATCAGATTTGTGACATCACAACTAAACTTCAATTGGGTCTTTGACTAAAACATAAATGTTTTTTCAACAAATTTGTCACTCTCAGCTGTGCCCCTAGTAATTCAAGAGTTACCAGGGGCCTCTTAACTTCTTCTCTGACTAATGTCTGCATAAAGCATTCTCTGAGGCCTCCTACGGCACAGGCTTCCACAATCTCATAATAATGAGCTAATATCTATCATTATGAGATACCTATCTCGTAATTATGATATAGCTTGAATTGGCTCCCTGGCGATACAAGGATATGAATGAGTCAAAATTGGCTTGATAAAAAAAATTATGTTGCAAATATTATTGAACAATAGTTCAGAAGTAGTTTTGCAAATCTTGTAATCTTGCAAGTTTTGAAAGAATCCTAAAAAACTACAAAAGGGCTTTGTCAAGGAAAAAATAAGACATGGAATGAGACCTGGAGTACAACTGCCTTTTAAGCATGAACTTAAACTAAGGCTACAGAACAATTAACATTAAATTTTAAATATTAATGTTTCTCTCTGGTAAGTAAAAATGAAGATTACACTTTTACAGCTTAGCATTCTCAAAAGTAAGTGCAGCTATATCTATTCTAAGGAGTCAGTCAATATCAGAACTACAATCAAAACAGCAATCTTTTGCAAACATCTACTTAAACTGGTTCCCCTAAAAGTGTTGAAGAAGTTTGTTTTGAATGGTAAAAGGAACAGGAAATCCTTCCAGGTTTGGTTCAGTTCATGTTTTAGAAAAGGTGAAACAGTCTCCTACCTGTTTTCTTAGTGTGTCTGAGTCCTGTTGACTAAGCTGGTGTGTGATCCCATGTTTTCATCTTTCAAAAAAAAAGAACAAGAAATGAAAAAGACATATATATACATAAACATTTCTAGACAATTCAGATCTTTATTTATACTTAAAAAAACTCAGCTTTTTTAAAGTTAGTAAAATGGACAGTGGGAGAAAATGCTTCTAAATCGGTTTTTTGATACACCTGTAGAGCTTCAGCTGTTCTCAGTGGCTCTCAACCTTTAAATTAGATTGTTACTGAATGATACATACAATGGCACAGCTGCTGATTGATTGTATGTGTGCTTTCAGATTTGTTGTCCTTTCTCTGTCACAGTTGTCATGGCAGGTTTAACAAAAGGCTTTAGAAATCACACAGAATCGATTATCCTCTGCTGAAATAACAATAAAAAAACAAACACTTTTTATTACATATGTTATTAAATAAAATGTGAAAAAACTTGGTTTGATTCTCAGTGATATACAGCCTAAAGAAATATATGAGAGTTTGTGACTTTTGAGTCTGCAGTGGATGACACAACTCTGGTGACAGAAATACAAGAAAGCCTAACTCCGTTTCTTATTTCAACTTTTTATTTGACCAAATAAAAAATGTGATTCACATATCATAAATGAAAAACAAATGTATATTGTTTTTCTTTTTCTTAAATTAAAAACACGTTTTTGGACAGAAGTATGATTTCAGGCGGCTCAAATAAGTACATGAACGAAGTCTTGCTCCTCACTTTTCGACATGAACAAGGTAAGGTAAAATGGAGATCTTGACATTTTACCAGAATATCTTAAACTTAGATGACACAATCAAATGTCAGAACACATATTTAATTATACTTAGTAGATCAGAGACATTACTAATATGCTTCAATTCCAGCTGTAGTGGAATTAAGCCTTTCAGGTAAAGCTACCTCACTTATCCTGCATATCCTACAAAATAATATCTAAACCCTCCTTATACAAAGTAGCTTATAAAATAAAAATGACAGTGTTACAAAACGTGTACTACTGCATGCATGGTATTAATACTGTAAATGCTGGGGACTGTGCTGTACGCAGTCCAGTGAAAGAAGCCATGTCAAACCTACAAAGGCATTTCTGCTCATGTAATCACAGACGTACAGTGATGAATAATCTCAAAAACAAGTACATATAAATACTAATAGAAAACTGATTCTTTTTTTCAGCTCACACATGCAGATACGCAAACAACACAGCAACACACTGAAAAAGCAAAAATGTCAAGTTTTGACAAGGCCACCAGGTTTCCACCCATGTCTCTCAATGTCTGACTGCTACACCAGGTTTGACCACACAGTGCAGTTAAACACCCACCACAACCCTTACAAAAACACAAAAAACATATTTTTTTAAGCTCAGGAAAAAGTACGGTAATGGGTTATTCAACAAGTTACACAACCAGGTAAGGACATTCATTTAACATCTGCCTGCAAACACTGCAATGCATTTCAGTGTGACTCAAAGCACAAAATCAGAGGTACGACAATAAACTAATATTTAAATGCATAAATGGAAGCTAGAAATACAAGTATTTAAAATTGTTTTAAAGAAAGTTTTAATTTAATATAAGCAAGGTGTACAGATTTCATTCACCGTGTTACAAAATTCATCAATACATGTTTTTCTTATTGAAATGAGCTTTAGAAATTAAGTTTAATTAAATGTCTCTTTTTTCACTCTTTTTTAAAGATAAACAAATACAAAAAAGAACAAAAAAATCAGCTTCGACTCCAATCCTGTTTTGTTATAGTGAAAAAACGTCAATCCCCACCTTTTTCTCCAACATTTTGCGCCACTCCTGTGATCAAGTCTTACTGCAAAACTGTTTAAGCAAAACAAAAATGGTTTGATTTCAGCCTCAGCTGGCAGCTTCACTCAGAAGAAGCTGAAGCTGATCAAAAATATCAGCATCTACATGGGTGGAGCAAGGTAGAACACAGCTAAAGACAGTTGTGTAATGCAAACAAATGGGCTCACCCAGAACAGTTGCATACTTTAGGAACATTTGAGCATATTGAAGTGGACTACCCCCACTGCAGGTAAATGATAAGGTTTATTTGGGAGGAATCACTGTGGACCACATGTGTTTTCAAACCTTTAACTTCACGTATTTATATTTGCATTTGGAAACCATGCTCGTGCATGAAGGAGTCCTTGTCTAAAGTCAGCAACATCGCATTAGGACAGCCAGATTTTGCAGTCCTGGTCCATGCGCCTGTCCTCTGGCGCAAGGCGCGGGGCGGCTGTTGGGAGAGTAACGCTGCTGATAAACAGTTAGCTGATCCGCTTCTCTGATCCACCTGTACGCCTGCCTTTAGAAGCGCACTCCCCCTCCCCTGTCTCCCTATGGGACGCCTAAAGCTGAGGGACATGCCTTAGAGCTGTTTCTCTGAACCCGAAAAAACTTCAAGGTGTAACTAAAATACGCAACTGCAGATACTCTTTGTTCAGCCCCCCTTTTATCTTTATCCTCCATCTCCTGCAGATATTAGCTTCGAGGCTCCCCCCCGCACCCCCCCCCACACACACCTCTCCATCACAACCTCTAGATCGCTATCTGTATCTGATTAAAAGAAAAGCATAAGAAGTACGTGCGTGCAGAAACAACTGGGTGTTCAAATCCTGCGCAAAGTTCAAAGCAATTGCTTCCCACCAAACGGATGGCTGACGCGCACTTGAACGCTCTCGGACTGTCAATTTTTCCTCTGCACTCTGTCGCCCCTAACCTGTAATCTTATACTGCTTCACAACAGCCCGCCAGTGAGCAATGTGTAAAAAAATTTGGACCTACCTTGAGGACTTCAATCCTTTTCGAGGGCTGCGCACAAATCTTAAGCCTCTGGAAGTTTGACTTAGTCTACTCCTGATCCCTCGGAGGAGTCGCACTGAGGGAGAGGATGGGCGCCACTGCTCAGCGCGCCAGCTCCGCGGACGTGCGCGTGTATGTATGTGCAAGCGCACGTGTGAGAGGACGCGCGTGCACGAGGCATATAGAGAAAGTGAGTGAGAGATAGAGAGAGAGAGAAAAAAAATGAGAGAGAGAAAGAGATTCGGGAGGGAAACAACAGACGTGGAGAGATGTAGCCCCTTGCCAAAGGATGCTTCAGTCTCCTAGCAACAACAATCGATCCAGCGAGAAGACATTTTTATTGGATAAAAAGATAACTTAGCCATTCACGTCCCATAGCACATGTTTACTTCTCAGAACAACAACTCAAGCCTTAGTGAGTAAGGTCCAAGACTGATGTAGTTCAAAAATAGGGGAGGCGGTGGGGGGCTGGCAGACAGATGCTTCCGCAGGTGAATATCTTACATGCGTGTGTGAGGTGCTGAATCCAACAGCACCTCTGCGTCCTTGCATCCTACAAAGCACATCAAGCAGACCAGAAATTCTTATTCATTTTTTTCTTTTTCTTTTCTTTTTTTTTTTTTGCTTGAAGCAAAAGCTCCATTAATGTTTTAACACATTATTACACTCTTTGCGGTCAGTAGAAAAATAAGTGGGGAAACTGCATGCTGTCCATGCTCCAACTAAGTCAAGCACGTTTCAAGACCACAGCTGTGTTCCTCAGACAAGAGGAATGTCCACCTTTAGAGCTCATCACATTCAGAGATCTTCAATACAAAGTAGGATACGTTTTAAAGAGGAAGGACATGCATGGCTTTTAATTTTTTTGTGTGTGTGCTTTGTATTCAGCTCCCATGAGTCAAGGATTTTGCAACCACCTTTATAATAAATGGAAGAGTTTGCTCTTCCAGAGACCAAAATGTCTTCCCATCTTTCTTTGAAAAATAGCTGAAACTCAGTCAAACTGGATGGAGAGGGTCTGTCAACCCCAGTAACCAGATCTAGCCTCAGACTCTCAACTGTATTTAGGCCAAAGTAGTGAATCCATTCTAAGCCATTAAAACTGACATGGTTTTCATAAACCATTCTATGTCAGCTCTGGCTCCATTATTATTGTGCATAAAGGGGAACCTCTTGTCTCAAGTCCTTTTGCAACCTTGAAAATCTCTTCTTACAGAGCTGGGATGTATTTTGTTCCATGTAACTTTATGAACAACATGTTTTTTACATATCTGTTTAAACTGTTACAATATCATGACAGACTAACATGAGATAAGTAAACCTCCCTGCAGTCCTACTGCCATCTGCAGAAATACACTTACCTCCACAGCATGACACTACAACTATTGTGTTTTATTTGCATGGTGCAGGTTCCAGTTGATAAAGAGTGTTAGCTTGCCGCGATACAAAGTGTTATGCAAGAAGCCAAAAGAGTTTGGTCTTGTGCAGCTATGGGTCTCATGTGGCCACTCCCCTGATGGGAGTGTGGCAACCTGTAAACATAATTTCTTGCTTCTTTCTTTCAACAGTGGTCTTCTTCTTCTCTTCCATATAAGCACAAATTGTAAAATTTATGAATACTTGTTCTGTCAATTTATCCATCTGACCTCTTGATCTCTGCAGCTCTTCCAGAACTACCATAGGCCCAGTCAAGTGACCTCCAAACACTCTGTGGTATTTTAAGTACATCAAAGTATGCCAGACTTTTTTAAGGTTAAAACCCTCGTAGCAGTTTCCCTCCATTCCACAGTTATGACATTTTAAGAAGTGAAAAAAAGAATACAATTTAATTAAAATAAAGAGAAGTCTAAGTTTGTAACATACCAAAATGTGAAGAGGCTTAAGCGGTTTGACACATTTTGCAAAGCAATGTTAACGGCTCGCCTCTCTCCATCCACATGTTGGCTAACACAAGAAGCTCAAGCAATCTTTGCGGGGGTTATATGCAAAAGCACGCAAATCCGTGTACATCCGCAACCACACATCTGCACTTCTATACTCAGTTTGTATGATTATGCTGAAAGATTCATTAGGATGCAAGTATGCAAGTTTGAAGCTGCTATTGAACAGAAAATCCTCTTCATGCATGACTGAGTCAAAAAGCATCCTCGCTCTCTTTCTCTCTGCGCAACACAAATGCACATCACAATCTCAAACACACACACACACACGCACGCCCACACGCACACGCGAACACACACCCCTGCACACAGACCAAGTCTCAGACTAGAGGCCTGATTTATGTATTGTAAAAGTTACTCAAGTGCTTAGACATACACCATGTGAGGACTTACTTGGGGTCCATTTTTGATTGCATTCAAAGACCCTGGTGTGTTGTTTTGTCTGCTATGTATGCAGATGTCTTGTGGCAGGAAGTTTTGGCTGAGATGTTTTCAATGTATATCCTGCAGGACACCATATGGTATAGAGAAACACTGCCGGGAAAGATATTGATTACTTCACTGAAGGAGTAGACGGGTAAGAGCTTCCACTTCACACCTCTGTGACACACTCTCACACACACATATGAGAAAGTGAATGTGGGAATCACACACACAGACATGCACACTTCTCACTGTTTCCACTGTCAATCACAGCTTTCTAGGAGCTCATCCCTGGTCTCTGCCGTTCCAGCTCGAATATGCTGGCCGCTCTAATAAAGGCCTCATTGTCTGCATGGCATGCATATATGCAAAAAGCCCAGAAAGCCAGCTTTGTCCCATAAGGGTCGCTCAGCGAGAGAGCTTTGTGCCTTTCCCCATAGAAATACTGAGAGAGAAAGAAAGAGGGAAAGTAAGAAAGAAGAAAGAAAGAAAGAAAAAAAGAAAGAAAAGGATGAAGGAAAAAATTAAAGAAAGAAAGAAGGAAGAAATCAGTGTGATAAATACAGGCATCCTGATAATCTGAAACTATTTCCACTGGTGAGTTGTTATGTGTGTATATTTTTGGGCCTGCGGAAGAATTTAACAGTCTGCTTCATAACGGTGAACTGCTCCAGCCCAAACAACAGGAAGAAGGTCCTCTGGGATTTTGCTTCCTCAGTCTTTGATTCCCCACAGATTGTTTGTATCCTCGCATTAATAGAATTAACCACGCTTCATTTCCCATGGTCCTCTGTCCTGTCCTGGCCTTATGACGGATGAAGACTTGCAACAGAGGAGTGAGAATGCTCAGAAGTGTGCAGAGTATCTGTCAGACAATAGGTTTAGTTTGGATAGAAACACAAATAAATAGCTAATGAGAATTATTTGTGTTTTAGGAGTTTTTTTGTGGGCATTTGATGTGAGATTTGAGAATTTGTGCCACAATTTGACCAAAAATATGAACAAAAGCCAAGTACCCACTTCTGAATTATGCAAATAAAGCAAACCTTGTCTAATAGTGTTAAAGGATAAATAAATATTCCTTTAATATTTTATGAGAAAATTAAGGTGAATGCATTCATTTGGTTTTCAAACCAGGAGAACTGAAATTTTCACAGGAACAGATTAGCACAGTTGTAAACCTAAACGTCACCGAAAGCTGCACATTTATATCTTTTAATGGTTTTAATTGTATTAGAAATATGTAGTATATGTGGAAGGCTCCTGAAGGATTTGGCCATTAACAACCCAGTTGAAACTTGGTTCAGTTAATCAATGAATGAATTGTACTTCTATCAACCTACCTGTCCAAACAAAGTTTAAGAAAAATTCTGCATGACATACTGTTATCTCTCGGAAAGTTTTGTAAAGAGACAATTTACACAATTTCACAAACGAATATGATCTAACTGGCAGATAATCTCATTAAAAAAGAAAAGCAGTCATTCCAAAGGTCTACATGAAATTATGAACTGAAGTTTAAAACCCATTGTCTTTGTAGAAAGACAAGCAATCAGTATTTGTTGTTGGTTTTCTCTCTTCCTATTGGTCTTGACATAATTTCCTGTCGTTTTTGGCAAACAGCTGAAACAGAGAAAATCCCAAAAAAGAAAAAAAAGCACCCAGTTACAGCAGAGACAACGCATGCCGTGGCAATTAAATAAAAATACTTTCCCTAAGCCATTTTTAAAGCCCTTTTTCAAAGGCCTTAATCTAATACTATAGTTTATAGTATTTGATGAGGAAGAATATGGCTGAAATTTACAAACAATAGACAACCCAAAGTGTGAAACATAGCAAAGGAATGGGTTTCATAATGTTACTCCTGCATGATTCTTCTTTACAAACAAATATCTCCTTGTTTGTGAGAAGCCTAATTAAAAGTGCACTCTGAGGCTGTAGCTTCCATCAAAGCCAATATCCTCTCTCAGAGTTTTTAAGAAGGTTATCTGGACTAGCTCCAAAGTTAAATAGCTTCCTCTTTTATCTGTCCCATGGCTCCATCAAGTGTCACAAAATCTGGCAAGAGGATTTTTGGGGTTATCTTGCTGAAAAACAGCATGGAACGCATTCCCTTGCCTCAGTTCCTCACTGGCATAAGAATTATTTGTTATTCTAGAAACAAACAACACATTTGTCTATTATTTTAGAGACCAAACAAAACATGCAATGCCTCACAAAAGTAATTACACAGTTAAATTTTTTTTCCCATTTTTTTCAAGCTTTTGTATGATAAACCAAAACAAAATATTGTACTTTATCGCTCTCCATAAAATGGAAATGAAAAAAAGAAAATAAAACAAAACAACTAAAATTGTTTTGAAAAAAAGAAAACCATAAAGTGTGGTGTGCTTTTATGTGTAATATCCTCCTTTCTAATACCATAAAACTCAATGCAACATTGTGTCTTCAGATGTTTGCTAAAGAACATTAGTATTTCTTTATTTCTTTAGTATTTACGAAAGAACAGCATCGTAAATGGGGGTTTAGCCAGATTAACTTTTATCAGCTGTATAGTATGCTGTAATGTCAAAAGACATACCTCCGCCATTGCTTTGATTCTTTTATGCATGTTTGAGGAATGCTTGAATCTTCTGTGGCAGCTATCTGCCGGTGGTAACTCTCACAGAGCGCCGCCTATTTCCACAGAGCTCCTCCTTGGAGCTGCAGTCTCCAGCCGAGCTTCT